ACTCGTAGGGTTGATCCAAGACGCTCGATCGATGGATGGATCTTAGTGCTGTCGGTTGGTGCTTATATAGGTTGCCGCCGCTAATCCCTAGTATAGTAGGCTCCGTCTACTGAGTAAGGGTAACAGAACAAGGATTCTGTAGTCGGTCCGTGCAGAGTACGCGTGTAGGACTAATTTCATTCTTCGTCGAAGAAAGGATGTCAGACTAGGATTCTGTTGTCGGTCGGTGCAGAGTACAGCTTAAGGGAGAACCATTTGCATTTTGATTGAAGGCAGTAACCAAAACACAAGACGCATCTAAAAAGGCATTTATGCCGTTTTCCGTCGTGTTACTAATTGTTGTTGATAGCCTCGTTATATAGGTATTTGAACTAACGTCGTAGTGTATGAATTTAATTACAAACTAAGCGAATTTTATGCTCAAGTGCTACTTACTTACAAAATGGCGCAGTCCAGCGTGAAAATCGCACGTTGGTGCAAAGTGCATGTTCTATGATTCACACAAAGGATCTTCCCTTCAAACAGTAGGGCGATGTGCCCGTTTGTGTTCTAAATAGAACATGTGCAATGAATATACAAAAATCACCATTAGAATTGTAGACTGGAAAAGAACTGACAAGTACTGACCATTTTCGCGTTTTCGACATCAGATGTTTTACGCACGTACCCAAACAAAGTGGGACAAGAAAAGCGTACCTGATTGTCGGTAACTGTGGGGGATGATAATCCAGAGAAAGCATGTCGGTTGCAGCGCCAGAGATAATAGAAAATAACGCGAAAGCGGAAGAAATTATCCCTTCAGCAGCAGCAGACAAAGACACCAACTAGCGTATTTAAATATGATATCGTGCTTGATGGACGAAGAGATTGCGTCACTAGTCGAAAACAACGGGTTACCAATTGGGAAGAAGGTGATAGATAACCGGTGAGTGTCAAATCGAGGGCAGACGGAGGTGTCGATCGTTACAAATCCAGACTCTTGGCTAAGGGCTTCCTCTAGAAGCATGAACCGGATTATGATAAACCTTTCAGCCCAGTTGCTCGTTTTGGTAGGGTGAAAACAGTCGTGAGTGTTGCGGCATGTGAAAAACTAGAACTAGTAGTTTTGATGTTAAAACCGCATTTCTGTATGGTAAGCTCTTTGAAGAAGTGTAAATAAAAGAGCCTGTGAGCAGGATCGGTTTTGGCATGGGGCCATGTGGGCCCGGGCTCATAGCGGGAAAAAACCAAATTTGGGAAATAATTCTACAGTACTATCGTGGAAAAATAACATAACCTCTTTAGAAATTGAAGTGGGAATGTTACGCACACTCGTACGAACTTAAAAGTAATCATGAAATATGGTGTAATATATAACCTCACATTTCGACGAAATTATGTGAACTTTGTATTAAGATTGTGGAATATTTAGGGCTTCTGCAATTTTTTGTTGAAAACGCTTAATTCAGATGCCCTCTGGCCATTTTTATCAATTTCATGATCGTATCCGTTAGATTCTCTGAAATACGATTCAATGGTTCTAGATGTTTGTATATTAGATTTCATATTTTAAACTGTAAAATAAACATTATTTGAAATTGACGTTGAGATGTCCCAACCTTAGCAACGCCCTGTGAATATGATTGTCGATACGAAGCACCCTATACATCATGTTAGTTACACAAGCTGCCAACCGAAATTTGGTGGTATTACAGAAAAGGGAAAGAGAGCGAAGATTAGACGGATGGAATTTCTCGGAAGACCACATGTGTTTACCATTTCAAACACCTGCAGTCCAGTTTTTTCCGGGAAATGTAGTGAATTGGCGATTTGCGGGTTGTTTTTTAGGGGTGTTAAGAGATCAAGTTACAGCGTCGCTTGGGGAGGTTAATAAATACGATGTAGAGAATGTGTTCATGGTCTTTTTCTTGTAACCGGCTTAAGTGTAAAGTACGGCTTATCTTGAAATTTTTTGTTATACCTTAATCAGTACTGTGTGCTTTTGTTTTTATATCAGGTGAGGTATTTGCTTTATTCAATTAATCCATAAATGTGGTTAACTTGAATGCAGATTGTAACCCTTTACTTATGTACTTGCTGAATTCAATCACTTGTACCTCTAATGTGTAACTTTTGTTGGTATTGGCAATCATGTTTCATTGTCGGCAGAGCTGTCTCTGTATTGTACATATGCAAATGTGTCCTGCTATTTGCGTATTGTGCTTTTTAGTCACTCGCGATGATTGCATTGCATTTTATTATAATTGTTTATTTGGGCTGTGAATAATCAAGAGGGAAGTGTGCTCGTTTAGAGGGGATCGAGTTATTCAAGTTTATACGGGCCTTGGTGAACCTAACACTAACATTTTCACCCAACAACTTTAGCCCACGTCTACAGGCACCCCACTGGGCCTGGGTAATCCTACCGTCCGGCGAGGCATATTTAATATCTCTTAGTTTTGTCTGATGTATGTATTGTAATACCTGGGGAATGGCTCGATTCCATTTTGGTTACTCATAGCGTGTATGTAGTATTTACCCCGGTTTCGAGAGGGCTCAAAAGTGCTGTACATTAGATGTTAGCTGTAGGCTTTGTTCATTATAGGACTACTCCGAATTAGGTTTTCCTGCAGTTTTCCTAATTCGTAAGGTCAATTCCGGAGTAGTATAGAACAGCTTAAGACCCTCTGCAGGGGCGCCGCTAAAAAAAATAATAATAATAATGACATTTATTGAGTTTTAAGTAAGACAGTATTTTAACCCATTTATAAAAAAAAGAACAACTCAATAGGGCGGAGTTCAGACTGGAGCTACCAAGATAACCCCTTCTGCTCTACCACTCAACCCTTCAACAATCTGTATTAATTACAGTGACAAGAACAGTTGTTATTAAAGGCCCGGTAATGAGAGAGAAAACTATAACTAAGAGTGAAACGCAAAAGCGCAGACTGCTATCTGTAACTAAAGTACAAAAATTTATAAAAAAGCAAAGATTTAAAGAAAAGCTAAAATCGTATTTATTCATTTTTCGAATAATTCATTTAAGTCTCAAAACTGGTGAATAAATTTGATAGTAAAAACATAAAGAAATATCTCGGTTATCCTAGTTTATATATTTTAATCTGAAATAAGTTCTAATTTACGTAATAACGAGGTGAATATGAAAAAAAATGAAACTGACTGACTGGATGACATTAGGAGTTAAATTAAATTTGCTTTGTAGTCAAATGTTTTTACTTATTCTCCAGTTTTTGGACTTGAAATAAATTGTTTGAAAAATAAATTAATCGATATGATTTTCGTTTTGGACGAGATAGATAAAAATTCCCTTTATTCACTACTAGCATTACAACGTATAATTAGTAGGCTGGTATTCGATGATAGATTTTATTTTTCTCTACCTCGTGGATTATTTCTCTCCTAGTAGGAGATAATGAATTTGACATTTGGGTTGCCTATAATTAAATAAATAACTATCGTTGTACGTTGTTAACGAAGTAAACAAGGATTTTATTGAACTGAACAGAACTTAAAGAACTTACTTTTGAAAATTATAATTAATCGCACAATTATTGTACGCGATATTCTTCGAAATACACCAACATAACATTTTCACTAACTTGTGAAACACATTTTGTTTGACACCATTCTTTAAAATTTAAATAAATTTTATTGTAATAATGTTTTGATTTTTCAAGCAAGAGGTCGTTAGCGGCCACGCTTTTTGTTGCTTCTCGTATGTCTGGAGGAGTGCACGAAAATTCACTATCCATATTTATTTACCAGAAATTAGCGAAACACGCAAAATGCGACTTACAAATAATGTAATGTCAAAGTTACAGCCTTCTTGTAAAAGTACCTACCTATTATAGGTACTTAAAATCGCTAAAATCGTATTTTCTAATGATATTTAAATATGTGTTAAAACAGTTCATCTGCTAGTAGTGAATAAAATAACATATAAACCACGGTAGAGAAGACTTTTCATCGCCTCGCTTCTTATTTCCCTCGACGCGAAGCGCCTCGGGAAATAATACCGCTCGGTTAAGAAAATCAACTTCTCTACCTTGGTGGTATAATTACTATAAGATTAGAATATAAAAACTAGAAAAACCAAGATATTTTAAAAAATATCAGTAAAAGGTATAGGACATTATTATCAAAAGTTGAAGGTTTTTGGAGGAGCTAAAAGATGACAGAAAAATATACATGGTGTCCCATTTAAAAAAAGTGAGATTTTTTAATATGAAGTTTTGCAACTTTGGACTTACCAAAAAAACACTGGTAAGCTATTTTTTTAATATTTCATAGTAGATGTATTTATTTGACTTTTACTTAAGCCAGGATAAAAGATATAAAACCTGGAATCAAAATTTAAGTAATAATTTTGACAATTCAGCTCATGTATAAAAAATCACATAAGCCGCAGTGTAATTGTCACTTTGACAGCGGCAAAAGTTACCTGCAACTTTTCCAGCGACAAATGCACTAGTGGTTTTTTCACTTATTCATTTTCGAACCAATAATCGCATTATCCTTACCCATATGACTAGTTTGACGTCTGTCAATAATTGATTAGTTTGGTGAATTTCTTGTTCGTTAAATTGTCCTGCCGAATTACACTCGAGGTTTGTATTTAAACCGAATAAATTTGGGTTGTGGCAATTCAAATCTGTTTCCTTTTAGCAATTGGACTCGAAAAACTGTCAACCTAAAAATGCTCCACCTGCGGTGTCGCATTTTTATTAGTTGACAGTTTTTCTCGTCTAATTACTAGGCAACACATTTTTATTACCTAAACAACCCAAATTTTCTCGGTAAAATACAAACCTCTTGTGCAATTATAAGTGACAATATACTGACGCTTGCAAATTAGTTCACAGTTTTTCTCGTCTAATTTAGGCAACAGATTTTCATTACCTTAACAACCCAAATTTTTCGGTAAAATACAAACCTCTTGTGCAATTATAAGTGACAATATACTGACGCTTGCAAATGCCCAATTTTTCTTACAAATCGAATTACCTTTAAAACTACTAGTCTTTCGGATATTAACCCTATGATCAAAAAGACGTACAATTACACGTAGAATTAAAAAATGCATTGAAATATGATGCTAACGTATATATTATGTACGTTTTTCATTTTGTTTTATTAAGTCTTTTCTAAACCAAGTTTGTTTGCTTAAATTCCGGCGTTAAGATCCACAATTTCTTTGTGTCTGAATCATCACGTTGTGTCTGAGTGTATTTACTTTCTGTGTTTTTTGTAATGGATTAGCTTTTCTTGATCGTTTTTTTTTGTAATTCTCGGTTCGTTTTGTAGAACGAGGATTTACATCTTAATGGGCCATAAATTGGAGGGGTTTTCTGATACACGCAACTTCACAGCTAAAGTTTTCAATATCTAAATGCTCGAATAGTTTTCATGTGAAGCCTGAAATTGTAAGGGTTTCTTCTATTGATTTGAATTATTCCCTTTCAATTCATTACGGCATTTATTAAACATAAAACCCATCACGCTCAGGTTATCGTTTCAAAGTTCTTATGGAGACATCGTTATACAATTAGGTGTACTTCCGACATGCAAAATATTTTAATCAATCATTTTTGGGGGGCCGTTGGGCATCTTAAAATCCAGGAGTCATAGTCAAACAGAATTGAGTACTTAGTCGAATTGAAAATGTTTGGACTTGACTTGACCATTCTAATCGTTGGGGTTCATAATCACTTAAAATGTAGTGTAGAATAAAATTTAGTGCTTCACATCCATTAGCGATACCTTGATTAACTATAACAATCTTCTTTCAGTGTTGAAACCCACTATCCGTACAGGTTTGTAACATCTATATAGGAGTAAATAAGCATTGAACAATTAACACTTCCTAACTTAAATTCAAATTTTAAATTAAATTAATGAACTTCGCGCGGTGGTGGTTGTCACATACATTTCGCTTTGGGTAGTGATTAATCATCTAGAAACTGCAGGCTGCGATTGTGACAATTAGCATTTAGCATGAGCTGAAAGGTTGTAGTTTCCCCAAAATTAGCATGCTGTCTGCTTGAAACGTGATAATTGCATATGGTGCATGATTGTTTTAAATGTTTCGCTCGACTTATTTGTCATAATTTCTTGGTCGGAATACGGAACAATTTTATACGGGAGATTCTTTTATGGCAAACACAAACTTCTCGCTCGTAACAAACCCAAGGTTTTGAATAAATAAATCTTTTTTAATACTCTTAGCTGAAAAGTTTGCCTCATTGAATTTCATTACTACGAAACGAAACATGATGACATAAAGTACATCGTTTCGTAGCTAAATTGCCTGAATATTTATAGGCTAATCAAATGCAAAACGCATTTCAATTTTCGCGCTATTATTGCGTGGCAAACGTGACCGACCGACAATGAGCGTAATAACGTCTTCCTAAATTTTTAACAAACAATTTCCCCTCGGAATTCCGCACAATCAAATTACAAAGTTATCAACTACATGCCGTACAATTAAAATCCGCGCAGAGCTCGCGCCACGCTAATTGGTTGTTTCCACAAACAAATGTCTGTGATTAAAACACGTTTTTCGAACGTGCACGTGAAACTTTTGTAACTAGGAGCGAAGTGATTCCCGCCGCATAAGTTAAGTAAAAGATGAATCCTACCTGATAGTCTAAATAATTTCCGTAGCCCATATGATTACAGGCACAAGGGCAGTGTTGAATGTGATTTCGAAGTTCAGAATCGAGAACCCATGGGTCCCGTAGGCTCCCGCGGCCTGTGACGGCCATGGGGCCTTCTCATCACGCCTGCTGCATTGATCACCGCGTGTCACCTGCACTGACTGAGTGCCCGGAGAAGCTGCTGTTCGCGGTTGCTATGGCAGCAAAAGCTCTGCGTCGCACGTGATGATCACCACATCTACTTCGTGTACGCGTGCGAACGTTCCATCACGGTGTGCGTGCAGAAATTGATAAAGATAACCGAATGAACATCGTTTAAAGCGATTACAAACAAACAGTATGCCGACCGATAGATCAAACGAATTCATTAACGACTACGGTTAATCAACCAAGGAGGTACATCCGCCAGCCTTCTTCCAGATGGAAGAGCTTTGTGGCTGATGCGACCGGGAATTTTGCGCGCTTCACCGACGGTTGCGAAATTGCTTATAAATATTGCAGACGAAATCATTGTGAGACGAAATTGCTTCCTATTACGTTCCCATTCATCGTCTTTAGAATTGAATGCATAATAATCTCTAGGTTCTTTGGTCGATAAGAAAATGTTCAAATGCGCATGGTTATACCTGTTGCCCGAGTCCATAGGGATGCTAGACGACGCCGGCGTCATTACCACAAACAGATACGGTGCTATAACAATTAGATAATAATTAGTGCGTGGCTATCACGATTACATCGAGTGCACGCTTTCCGACGATGGACTTTCGCATGTGAAGCTAAGGTAAATTTTATTTCGACTTTCCCCCGACGGTTACCGCCTTTCGATCTCTAAAGTGCGAACATTTTTAGAATGAACTCCGTTGAAAGCGGCACACAAAGACGAACAATAGAGGCGGCTCTTACAGTATCCGTTCGGAAGAGCACGTTCGACCACCTAAGCATAATAATTAGAGGATGAGCGCCCGAGTTTTTTTAGCGAATTGAAACATTACTCACGCCGAATTAGTTAAATTTAAAATGCAACCTAGTGGATTTTTAAGCGGCGGGTGGAAACGTGCAGGTGGTACAAGTTCGGGAGTGGTTAGACGTGCATGTCCAGCTTCTGGGGCACAGTGGAATGTACAGGTCGTACGCGGAAAAGTAAACGGGAAATGTTTATGGAACGCTTGCAAGGCGCTCAGTCTTGGTCTTCTGCTTATGGTCTTGGGAGCTGCCATGGCAACTATCGGTGAGTAATTTGGTTACATTCGTCGAAATGCGTTGTTTAAGGTTAAGAATATTTGGGCGTGGTTTAATTCGTTCCTGTTTCTCTCTTTTTATTAAGAACTATATTGATGTCTGGGGATGTTATTTAATAAGCTAAACTCCATTGTAACATCTAAATAGAATCGTGAAGGTTATCATTGACGTTTTGAAGTGAGCACCCACGTGCGGCGCACAAACGGTACACAGTCGTGTTTGTGCTCATCCTCATTGCTTGATCATTAAACAAGTATCAAGTACAGCTTTGAAGTTCTGATAGAAAATTTGTTTCCGAGCTAAACTTTACCTACGTACAGGTTTGTAACATCTATATACAATTTAATACTTCAGATTTATTACAAGCTTTGGTTTTTGGAATAAAATAATATAGTTTCGGGAATGAATTAAGTTCAAATTACCCATGAAATTAAGAGCAGTAGTCCTGGTTGACTACGAAACGGTCGAAAATGTTAACGGCTAAAGCACAAATGGCCGTTGAGGGCTGCTTGATAAAAACTTTGAACGTCGAGAACTTACTTCGAAGTATAAACTGACTTTTGAATGTCTTGGAAGCACTTGAACTACTTGTGGCCGTTGAACTTGCAAAAGTAAAACAAAAACACCAATAAATCATAATATATTAAAATATCGAGCGCGTTTCAACAGCAAGGCTGTGATCATCAGCAAACAACTGTTGTTCATTATTGCATTATTATATTTGGGAGGTTTTTGTTGAGTTGGGAAAGTAAATTGTTACAATATCGCTCCCATTATGGAATGTTCTGTACGTTTTCAATTTTGTCCTCCGCCCTTTTGTAGCAATCCGGAATAAATCTTACCATCGCGTAATCTCCTGCATGGTTTTTGATGGGTGAAAATCAGTTTCTTGTTTATCTGGAAAATCACCTGCTTCTGTTCTATATCGCTATCTGTAATGGGCGCTGCCTTTTCTCAGGTTCGTGGTGTGGTTAGGTGTATAAAATTGTTCTTGTAAACTTCATCTTTTTCTCCTTTCGCGTTTAGTACGTTTGGACCTACCTCCGCACTTCACTTCCCAGGTTAGCTCAGATAAAAGTGGTTCAATTAATTGTCCCCTTCACTGCATGTACCGGGTGACCCAATAAGACTGTTCCTCGGCCATATCTCGGGAACCGTTCGACGTATGACTTAGGGGTAAAAAAAATTATTGGGTAAATCGGTCATGAAGAATCGCTTGAAAATATTTTCAAGTTCTAAAAATGACCACCAGAGGTTGTAACTGCCATCTTTAAATTTCGCATAATAAACTAAACATTCTTTTTTCACACTTTTAAAGAGAACCAGTTTATCTATCAGTTTCGTAAAAACAAAAATGGCGTGGGACGTTCAATTGTTTTTTCAATAACCTGCTTTAACTTCTTAACCGTTTGACCGATTTTAACAAATTTGGTATGGTTGAAAAGAGGATTCCTGGGGCAATGAGAATCAACCAATAGTTAATTTAGTTGAATCCTTCTCCGCCAGGGGAATGGTATGACTTTTTCTTTATGAAAAAGTAGCCAAAAAACATTCAAAGAGGCAAGTGAAAACCGTTTTTCAAAATATCGTTCCTAACCTCAAATTCAGGGAAAATGAGATTAATTAATTAATTAATAAAAATGCTTACATTGTATCTCATTTGACGTATTTCCGGTATTTGTCGATGGAGCGAAAGATTGTTTGGAAAAGGACCCTACACTTTTAGGTAGGCCTCGGAAAATTAAACAAATGAAACACAATGCATTATAAAATAATAACAGCTGTAATTTGTAAATTATTCTGCTGTTTACATTCAGAAAGTGCATTTTTTAAGCCTTTTTATTAATTAATTAATTAATCTCATTTTCCCAATATTTGAGGTTAGGAACGAGATTTTGAAAAACGGTTTTCACTGGCCTCTTTGGATGTTATTTGGCTACTTTTTCATAAAGAAAAAGTCATATCATTCCATTTGATTTTTTTACGATTTTCGGCCATAGTGTCAAAACTAGCCCCCTGGCGGAGAAGGATTCAACTAAATTAACTATATTTGTGGTTTGTGATTCTCATTGCCCATACCAAATTTGTTAAAATCGGTCAAACGGTTAAAAAGTGAAAGCAGGTTATGGCAAAAACAATTGAACGCCCCACACCATCTTTGTTTTTGAAATAACTGAGTTTTTGTTTTTACGAAAATGATAATCTGGTTCTCTTTAAAAATATGAAAAATTTTTTTTTAGTTTATTATGCGAAATTTAAAGAAAATGCAATTTTAAAATTTAAGATGGCAGTTTACGCCCTCTGTTGGTAATTTTTAGAACTTGAAAATATTTTCCCGCGTTTCTTCATGACTGATTTACCCAAAAATTTTTTTACCCCTAAGTCATATGACGAACGGTTCTCGAGATATGGCCGAGGAACAGTCTTATTGGGTCACCCGGTACATTAATTATTAATAATTATTAAACTTTAAGACGTTGAGAATTTCAAGAAGCCCAGAATAAGTAGATTCCAAGATGGCGTCCGAATTGGTTGACCGCGATGGCGTCCAAGATGGCTGGCTGAATTATTAACTTATATAATGTCCAACGAAAGCACGCCGTTACGAGAGGAGTGAGGGGGACCTTTAAAATCAAACGTGTCATGAAAATAATGAACCCAACTTTTCGGAATTTCAAAATAATATTCAAGATAAGGTGATCCTAAGGGGATTCAAAGAAGGTTCTAAGAGGATTCTTAGGTGTGAAGTTTTGGAAGTTTTAAACATTCTTAGAAATTCTACGAAGAATGTGAAAAGGCCTATAAACAGTATTCTAAAATACTAAGACAACTCTGACACTATTCCAAGAATTTCGTTTCCATGAAGATTCTAAGGATTCGAATGGTGTTGAAGTTTCTAAGGATTCTAATAGATTCCCGAGGTTCTAAACCTTCGGGAAGTCCTAAGACAATCCTCAGAACGTTATACGAAGACCCCGACGTTTCCGACACGATCACAAGGAGATTCAAAGAAGATTGTAAGATTCTCAAATCCGATTAAGATTCTTTGCAGGGTCTGAGAAGTTTCTCAAATGACTAAGAAGATTTTATTTATATAAACGAGATGTACACTTTCATAGACGCTACACCGCTCTCTAGCTAGCCGTGCGCTTTGCTATTTATATTAGGTCAAAACGGAACCACCGAAATTGCCCCAGTCGGCGTCCCTTTTAAACCAATAGTAAGCCAGCATCAACAACAATTTTGTCTCGCGCAAAACAGAACCGCCGTAGTAGGAGAGTGCTACATTGATCAAGACTCAAGCGTTTTAGGTGCGTACGTTTATCCGTAATAACTTGACACGCGCCTACTATCCGTACAAAATGGTATACCCATATATAAAACTTGGAAAATAGTTAAATGCAAAGCGGACTCTCGTTACAATAGAACATTTTCACAAACTTTGCCCGTCTATCGGTAAGGCGGTCCCTCAAACTAATTTTTATTCGACAGTGCTATTTTGCCAACATGTTTTTTACTAAGCGCTTCTACAACAATGAACAGAAGATCTTTTTGTGTTTTCTGCTAGTTTTTAGAACCTAAAGTTTTTGTCAAAATGTCATAATAGTAAAACCTACGGTACGAGGACATATGTCTGGCTACTTTTTAAGGAAAGCACTAATCTCCGCCTGCGCCTTCTGGCTCTGTTAAAATTACAGAGATGTTACTTGTCTGGCTTTGTTTCGCTCTTAACCTTTGTTCAAAGTTCCTTGTCTATTACGCTCCAGGTTATTGCAGTAACTATTCATTTTCATCGACATTTCAATTTAATCACAGCTGTGACATAATCGCTTCAATATCCTAGGTAATCCAATCGTTGTGGACCACCCACATAATACAAGTGCAATAATCTTGTGCGTCGGTAGCAGAAATTTTGAGGAGATTTTGAGGAATTCTTCACAAATTATAAAACCACCCCGCGCAAGCTTACGGATGGTTCACAAACTCTTTTAACCGCTCGACGCCAACTCTATCGTTACTTAACGCGCGTTACCCCACGGCCCTATACCAACAACCTAATTTCTACTACTTTTATTTTACACCCATTCTGGGATGTACAACCTTTCTACCCTTTATATTTTGTATGACCCCCACTACGGCAACAAAATGCAAGAGGAAATACACAAATAAAACATCTCAAATTGTACGTTAAAAATCAGGGAATTAAAGCAAATGAAGTTAAACAAATTCATAAAAACAAACACAAGAGACATCAACACATCATACATTCAAGGGGAAAATAGGATAAATCAGATCAAGTACAAAATACATCTACGATTCAGTTTGGTGAAAACAACTCGTCCCTCTTCATCCCAGGCCACAAGAATTTGTCAGTTAGAAGTTTGGTTGTGACGCGTATTCGGGGGTACGGGGTGTGCTTGGACTCGCTACAGTTTTAGGCTCGTGTTTGATGGCAGCATCGTTTTCAGCTTTGGATCAGTGTCTTGGTCTCCTTCTAGGGCGCCGAAATCTACTCCGTGCACAATCTGGCCGACCATTGATAGATTATCTGCGACGATGCTCTCCTTTACCGGTTATGTACCTGATATCGATGTAGTCTAAGTAGGTACCGGAACTGCCTCGGCGAGTATTTGTCTGGTTTTTGTCGACATGCGTGCGTTATTGGTTTCTGGTGAGAGTAGATCCGGTAAATCCAGCCTTCTATAGCATGTTACTATGGTGGTTGATAGTTTGGTAGATAGCGAAGAGTTCTCGGTTGTACGCTTCATACTTGGACTCTGCTTTTGTTTTTTTAGATTTATTATTGATTGAAAAATAATGGACCAAAAATGGACTGTGACGTACTTACATGGACGGCCATAGGATGTCTCATATTTACATACATAGGACGTCATTTTTAGTCCAAGGACGAATGTACAAATAGTGGACCATAAACGTACGTACATAAAACGTACGCAGAACGAAAAATCATATGTGTTAACAGTACATAATATAGATTACGCCGCTTACTCTCTGTCTTCTGTGATATACCTACTCAAGAACCTGCCATACTAAATTCATGCGCGTAGACGCTGCGCGAAATACATTTGGACGTCAGAAAATCGTCGAGTTAAATTTCTGTATTATTCTGTGCTAGTATACACGAAGAGGTTGAAGTGGAATACAATCGGGTCTAAGATGTTGAACATCTCTGTATCATCCGGTTACTGAGAAACATAGGCATTCTTATTCGTAACCAAATACAATGAGCCATGAGCACTTGGTCGTAGAGAAATCGTACACGAATTACTTATTTATTTCACACACTAAAGGTGCAGAATCAGTAAGTTAAATCACGGATAGAGAACTAGGATGGTAGAATGGTGTTCGTAGTAAGTAATCAAATTTTAACCTCACTTTGTTTGGTTTGGCCTTAGAGGTGTAAATGTTGGCATTGATTTGTATTACCGCTGTAATTACTCAAAGTAAGCTGGGTGCCTTGATTAAAGGTTGTGGATCAAAACTACAAAAGTAGTACATGTTTACCGTTTCTAATCTCAAGTCATGTTGAATGACGTAACTGTGGTGCCCCAACTGTAGCAACATCCTGTGAATATGATTGTCAATACGAAGCACCCTATACATCATGTTAGTTACAAATTGCTGCCAACCGAAACCTGGTGGAATTATAGAAAAGAGAAAGAGAGCGAAGATGAGATGGGAAGACGACATGTGTTTGCCATGTTCAAAACCTGAACTCCAGAGTTTTCCTAGAAATGCAGGCAATGGGCGTTTTTCGGAAGGTTTTTAGGGGTGTTAAGGGATCAAGTGACAGCGTCGCTTGGAGAAGTTAATAAATACGATGTAGAGAATGTGTTCAGGGTCTTTTTCTTGTAACCGGATTAAGTGTGAAGTACGGGTTATCTTGAAATATTTTTGTTATACCTTAATCATTAATGTGTGATATTGCTTTTTATATCAGGTGAGGTATTTGCTTGATTTAATTTATCTCTGAATGTGTCTAACTTAAATGCAGATTGTAACCCTTTACTTATGTACTTACCGGACAATTAATTCAATTACTTGTACCTCTAATGTGTAACCTTTGTTGGTGTTGGCAATTATGTTTCATTGTCGGTAGGGCTGTGTCCATTGTGTACATATTTGCATATGTTCTGATATTTGTGTATTGCGCCTTTTAGTCACTCTCGAACCTCTTTGTCATTGGTTCAATTATTTCATTGCCTTGCCATTGTGCCGTGACAAGCCGGAGTAGCCAAAGCGTGTGTTTATTGGGAATCGAGTTATTCAAGTTTATACGGGCTTTGGTGAACCAAACACTAACATTTTCACTCATTCCGAAACCAAACACCTCTAGCCCATGTCCCCAGGTACCCCACTGGGCGTGGGTAATCCTACCGTCCGGCGAGGCACATTTACTATCTCTTAGTTTTGTCCTATGTATGTGTTGTAATACCTGGGGAATGGCTCGATTCCATTTTGGTTACTCATAGCATGTTCGTAGTATTTACCCCTGTTTGTGCTAAAGAGTTTTACTATCGAGAGGTCTCAAAAGTGCTGTACATTAGATGTTAGCTGTAGGCTTTGACATGTACGTTCCTGGAGACTGCGACGGAGAGTTTCTTGGGTACGATCTTCTCTCACGAGCCCTAGGGGATCGTGCCATTTGGTTTAATAGGCTTCGGCCCCATCCAAATTGATATTAGCTTCAATATAATTTCAATCGCCTGTTGCTTTTGGTGTTCCTTACCCATAAAACGCTTAGAACCCAGTTACTGCACAACGTAGGTGTCCTACATGACGATCACAATGTTAGTGCACTCGGAGTGGCCACAGAGCGCGAAACTTAATCGAGAATATTCAAATAGGCAGCCATGTTAGTTTGGCGTTCCCGCTGCTACAGAATATGGTCAAATATTTCGGTGTGACCTGAAGTTGGCGTTAGCCGCCAAGAGAGTTGGAGGCTAAGATCATTACATAACTATGTGTAATTTTTTATCAATAGTCAAGGTCAAATTACTTTTCGGACTAGTGCGAAAAGTACCTACCTTTTGCACAGTTACCATCGTGATACCGATTGCTCCCAAAATTTCCTATTTTACGTAGGTACCCGAAGGTGTGAAAAGATAGCGTCTTATTTGAGAGGTTTGGGAAAAAGTTTTATTTCACTCAAACTTACACAATAGTTTCGAACATTTTCGGTTTAATCTTATAATTAAACTGGAAGGAACACAAATTGCAGAGGTAACTTAATTTTCTCAAACTTATTTGGAGAAAACAATTCAATATAATACCACAACGTGACGGCAGTTTATTAAAAGCACAACTTAAGTAAGCCGACGTGTTAATAATATTCGAAGCTCTTAAACTTTGACATCTTCCTTTTAAATTTAATTTCGTTTCTCCCTCGTCGCTGTTTTAAGCACGTTTATCCTCCTATTCGTTCGTCCTACTCCTTTTTCCATTTACGATCAATACTTATTCCAACTTCAAATTGAATTAAACTCGCCCACCAGAAATCCCGAATTGAATTCGTCTTTTTCTGTTTTAGGCTATTACGCGGATCACTTGTCCGTCGCCCAGGAGATCCGAGGCAATCATACGGTGAGGATTAAGAACGAGTCGCGCGGTTTCCATCTTAACAATCTTTCGTATGCTGGACCGATCGTCATGGGTGTTGGAGGTAACGTAATTATTCTTACAACCCTTTTCACGGGTCGAGTGCCATTGCTAGAGCGATGGAGCAGAAACGGACGCGCTCTTTCTTGGAACCTCTTCAAATCTAATTTCAATGACTCTTTAGTCTCATACTTTATAATAAAGGCACACAATGCCATAATTTAGCTAGCGCCAGCAGACTCTTATGATCCCATTTGGAAATTAAACTTAAGATCCTCCTGCATGAATAAGTTTCGTTCGCCCTTTATGACAATCTTTCCACTCAAAAAACTATGGTCGATATGATGCATGACGTGTATTCCTGTAAGGCAATAAAAGAGAGCGAAAATTTTTAGAGACATTAGAAAGATAAGCTTTAAGATTTAAGAGAGAAGAATAGTAATTTACGTTCGAGTTGGTCGTCTTCTCTTTAAAAATATGAAACGCATTAAAATGTAATGGCGCGTCTTTGACAGCCTACGCACGTATTCCGGCACTCGCGATTCATAAAAAACGAATGACATAGCGCCTCGGTGTCTTCCAGCCCCCTAATTTTAAATAACTCATTCCGCCCGTAAGTTTTTAGCCCCACGACCTCCGCCATTCTATTTCTGGTAGGTAAACCGCGAGACGAGTAAAAGTACATTAATTTTCTTCGCAAGGAGACGCAGAACCGAAATGTGAGATTTCTAACCTAAAATTACTGAAGTTGCGAAGTTTCGTTCATATCCGCCCACATTGTACGTCTCAAAACTAACTCCCCGAAGCGACGTTAAAGCGTCCCCGCAAACTTCGTCTTAGCATACATCCCACGCGCTCGAATATCACCCAGGATCAAAATGTAAAGGTTTTTGGTGAAACTAACATGCCCGGATAAAAGCTATTGTGAGTAACTCTGATCCGTATCCGACCAAGCTAATAAAAGCCTGGGAGTCAGTTTATTGCTAAGAGATAGTTTTAAAGAACCCATAAAAGTGATTACTTTCGTTAAATGTCACCATGAAAATAAAACGAAATTAGAGACGTCTTAAAAATACATTGTGTACGACAAAGGCCTCGCACCCAAAGCGATGGTATCACCTGTGATAACTCCCAATAAATTTCGTTCCCCTTTTGCAATAGAGCCGCTTAAATTTAGATATAAACCTTCGGTCCCGTTTTATTATGTGTAAGGATAGAATATTCCAGCCCTAAGTATATGGTATATCGCCGTATCTTGTCAAATTTTGCGTCGTTTAATAATGTCCTTAGAGCAATATCCTCAATTTCTTCTTCGAAATTTATGTGATCAACTTTTGTACGTGTCACCTGCAAGGGAAAAACGGTTTATCACCTACAGCTATTTTATACGGGGTATAAATTCCTTTTCGTGACGTGGGTTTTGTTGTGCGTCCGCAACGTGGAGGAATATTTCTTGCACAGAACATTGTGAAGCCGTAGAGAATACTATTGTCTAAATATGTTGCATGGAATGGGAACATGTAACGTCCTAACACGCCCTGGTAAGAGAGCGTTTAAATCTTGTCTTCATGCATAGTCTGCGTTGGCGGTGTTTCTCTCAAGGGCTTCGCGAACAAAGTAAACTTGCCATATCTTTGATTGCAGCCAATTCATCCAAAATTCGAGTTGGCGAAATAAAATATGTAGATCCAAATTTCACGTTATTTATGTACATATTTATTTATTAATTTATTGTCCCTCTTGTTCTAGGCCCTCAACAGGCTTACGCCCAATTACAGAGTGGCCCGCATAATGCTTTGTAGAGGTGCCCCTGCAGAAGGTCTTAAGTTGTTCCGGCATTTACCTTACGAATTAGGAAAACTCCAGAAAAACCTCTTTCGGAGTAGCCGGTAGAGTGCTCGAAACTGATCTAAGGAAATTTCCATCCCTCTCATAGATGAAAAATTCCTACCTCAGCTCAGCTTCGAACACCCGACCGACGGTTTTGTAGCCCAACGCTCTACTACTGAGCTACAAAGCCTGTTATCTTACACTTTCGTATTTACAAATTTGTTACGGTACTGCTGATAAAATAAACCCCAAGTACCTCTACTCAAATTTTAATGAACAAAAATAATACGGCGTTTTTCTCACAAAGAATACACACTTTATGGCTAACAAAGTTGAACCTATTTAAATGAAAATTCTAATTGAAATTAACTAAACCAACCTTACATGGAAAAGAAAACCAAATCCGTGCTAAATGAGTTCACAGTAACAACTGTATAATAATAATGATAATAATGGGGCCCCAACCGCCATTTTAAGAAAAATTGTGCGATTTCTAATGCCAATAAAATTTGCAGTTTTGTTAAAAAGAACCAATCATTAACTTTATACAAATCAAGCAAAAATATTACAGTATCTCGTATACAGAGTGTTCCTAAATATTATGTCCATATGAAAAGAGCTAATTCTTTGGAGTATTTTATGACTAAGAGTTCATATACAAATATAGGTCCGCTATTACTTTGTTACCGATTTACAAGAAAAAGATTTTTCTTTCTCTCCTACAGTTTTTGAGATATTTTGTTCAAATTTGAAATATAAGTTACATCATTGGTTAGGTCAATGTTAGTGAGAATTTTCGGGGGCCATGTTCCATTTTCCACCCTTGAACTTTTTTTCGGTACGCCGCTGGTGGATTGCAAAATAAGAAATTGATTTTCTGTTTTGTTTAGAATCTTTTTTGTTTCTTATAATTTTTTCGTATCTGCGACCGTTATTGTGAAAAAAATAAAAATCAATTTTCGGCAGTTAGGCTAAAAAGTTAAATTTTGAAAATGGCCCAGTAGGCCCTGGTTTCATTTGAATAATCTCCTGTTTTTATTACTTTTTAGAATTCGAATTTGGAAAAATTAAAGGTACGGTGAAATTATAATACCCTGTAGATCGGTAACGAATCATTTCCGGAGCTATGTTTATAGTATGCACTTTTAGTCATAAAATAAGCCAGAAAATTGGCCCCTTTCGTATTGCGCTGTGTCTCAGTGGTAGAGCGTTGGGCTTCATAGCGGAAGGGTCGGGTTTTTCATCTGTGAGAGAGATGGGAATTTCCTTAGATCACTTTCCAGCAATCTTAACGGCTCGCGCGAAATACTTTTCCTTTATTTATGTAACTGGACCTTACCTTCGCCTATTTTGTAATCCAAATTCTCGCAGACGAACTATACACTATCACGGTCTCTGCGCGTCTCTCTCCGATTTTTCCGTTACCAGTATTGCCGTGCTCTATATCAAAATGGAACAAACGCAAAGTTGACTATTCGTACGAAGCGGTACACATGAACTTTTATGCGGTCGTACTATAACTCAAAATTATAGACAAAGATTTTCTGTGGCTAGTGCAGATACCACCCGCACGATGCAATAGTGTAGCCATAATAGAAAAACGCAGTTTTTTTGTTACTTTGATACACTTACACATGCTCCATTCAGCCCAAAATTGGGTCCTATCGGTTCAGCCGTTGAGCCGTAAATGAGGGTATAGAACAGGGAGAGTAACAAACCGACAGACAGACAGACATCATAGAGATGGTATTTAATTCGGATTCCTGGTGCTTGAAAACGTGTATTTCAGTCAAAATCGAAAAATTTTGGTTGCATAACGGGCTCCCGTTACACTCATAAGAATATCGGGCGTAAGTATCTCATCTAGTTGGTGTGTAAGTTTCAGGGCCGTGTAAGTTACACAGCCGAGAATGTTGGACGAAGCGTGCGAAATTAAGGTTCCCGGTCAGTTTGCGGCAAATCCCACGTCATCAATTCCAACGGTCGCAAAATTGATTAAAGTATCTACCGGGTCAATTCATACCATTCTGGAAAAAAGGACAATTTTTTTCCATACGAGGTACAACTTCGAAAAGAATTGGACGCAATTGACTTCTGCGAATTAACATCCCAAAGAATTGATGAAGATTCTAAACATCTGCTTCTGCGACATATATACAGGGTGTCTAGCCATTTTCAAATATCAATATTTGAAAATATTCTCTCACTTAAGAGATACGGGGAAAAATTGACAATTTTAGAATGACCCTATATTTTCTTAGTTAAAAAAGATACAAAAGTTTCTTTATAATTATTGTTGAATATGCAATCTTCAAAATATGTGTACAGGGTCAGATAACCTAACCTAATTTTTTTAGCGGAACACCTTGTATATTTTAATCTCAAAAGATAGCACATTAAATTCTCTTTTCAAAAATATAACACTAAAACATTCTAAAAAATGTAATATTGATTCAAAAAGATTAAAGAGAGATTTTAAAAAAATTTAAAAATTCAACGTGTTCTAAATTTGTTTGTATTTTTTTGAAACATTTAAAACTTTTTTTAATCTTTTTGTATCTTTTCTCCATTTTTTTTAATCGATTGAATCTTTTTTTTTAATATCGTTAAAAGATATAAGGTGGCCCATTTAAAAAATGAAAAAGGCGCACATGACGGCTATGTTATTTTTTGATAGCACCAATAGTTACGGAAATATGCAAACTAGAAAAGTTTCAAAAATGGGACACCCTGTACTTGTTCTTGAACGGATTTGTGAACAAACACAATTGTAAGTACTGGGAATAAATCTTCACACGTGTTTCGGGAAGATCGCACCCAATTTCCGCAGAAAATCTTTGTTTAGGCAGGTATCTATTCTTGGGAATCAAATTATTATTGGGGTTGGGTCTATATTGTTAGAAGGAACTTTAAAAGGACATCTAGGAAGAAGAAGTGATAGACCCTCTGATCACCAAATCTTTGAAGAGTCAAGTGGACGGCAATCGCAAAATCCCGTTAGACAACCAAAATTTTCACTTTCAGCAAAATGGAGCTCTGCCACATTATGCTCTATAGCTAGGTATTAGGTATTGACGCAATCGCAGGTATCCTCGTAAACAGATTGGCAGAGCCACGGAGCCTCCTAGCACGAGGTAGGGCGATGGGGCCCCTATCTCTACACGGAAGTTTACAAAAGGTTAAGCAAACGTTAACGTTCTCTACGCGACATTTTAACTGGGCCCCTTTGGGTTGGGGGCTCACAAGCATGTGCTTGTTCTGCATGCACGTAAATCCGACCCTCGGTGCCCGACTTTACCTTTACCCCGCTTGATTTCTTTCTTTGTGAACATTTGAAAACGGTAGTGTATAAGACTAAGACCTGACAATATTCAAGAGCTAAGAGAAAAATTACAAGAGAGTTCATACAATTTTTTAACACACTGTATTAGATATAGAGACAATAATATAAATGTTATACTTACAATGAAAATGTGAAATGTCTTGAATTCACTTATTTTGTATTTGTCTTGGCTTTTTTAAAGTTCTTTTGTGTGTATTTCGGTAAAGGGAATTTTATGGTTTTTAAAATGATATGTCACTTGATGGGGGAAGATGTATTATAATTTTAAATTGGGGGTGCGGGTTGAATGGCACAACTAGGGTAACTTCCACTAAGCTTCTCCATAGCTATCTAAAATGGACGTGTTTTTATTTGGGTCTAGGGATAATAAAATAATTGTTTTGCAAGCAGTAGAAATGAAAATCTCCATTACATGCAATTTTATTCTTAGGGAGCACGTCAATAATCGATAGCATGGCGCTTCAATCATAAACTTAGCCGCAAAATAAATACCGGAAACGCTCATTTCGATATTTTAAAAACAGAAAACTTTCAGAATCTTATTTATGATTAAAGTGTGACGTAAATACGTTGAACAAAGTTTTAAAAAAATCCTGCCCCCGGAGAGAATTGAACTCTCGACCCCTGGTTTACAAGACCAGTGCTCTAACCCCTGAGCTACGGAGGCTTCGAGTGTTACGTTCTCTTACACGCTTAAGCGTATATAATTTCTAATATTATTTTCAATTACATTAATTATTGTTATTTTAAAATTACATTGTCATTATATAATAAATTCGTTTTATTATAATAGACAAATGCTATATATAAAACCTTACGTATACAACAACCTTTGATGAAAATCGTGGGTAGATAAGTTACTTGAGTAAATAATGCTCGTACCTTTCAAGTAAAAACGTTCTTATTTGATTTTCCGTATATTGTCAATAGAGAACTCACGGCACTCGGCAGCTGGGGAAAAACGGTCTCACAGCGAAAAAAACGCTTTCTCCTAAAGTCGTAACAAAATGGGAATAGGTACTATGGTATACTGTATACAGTTTATTATTCAGGATAGATTGGATTCAAATTTTGTCATAATGTAATTTTATTTCACCATAATAAGTACTCCCAATTTATAAAGAAAGGAAGTTTTTAATTGTATTTTGGGACAATATTTGTATTTTTTAAATGCAACACCTTGTAGGTATATCTTAACGTCAATTGTTTGCTTTATTTTTCCTGATTACATTGATGTATCACAACGCATATCTTTTTAGTTTGAAAACAAAAATAAAAATTGATATTTTATGGTTTTTAAATGGATTCATTTTTGTTTTGTTTATTGTATCCATGGTAACTATAAGGCTACCGATACCAATAAAAAAAATGGCTAACGGTAGAAGTGTCATTTCCAAAATTTGATATTATAATATATTATGTATCATTAGGTATATAGTCTGTTTCACATTAAGTCGGCACTATTGCTAACTTTCTTAGTTGTAGAGTTAGAAAGACGGTTAAAGTACCAAAATTGTGTATTTTTGTCTACTGAAATCTGAATTTTAAATCTGTAAAATAAAAAACCAAACATCATCGCATTTTTCAGATAATATCAAAACACTTTTTTATATGAAGCTTATTAAATTCTGTACAAAAATGTTTAATACATCATAGTCAAATACTTAAAATAACTAAGATTTTTCAATTGTTTTCATTCCGATCTAGTTATCCATTTTAAATGATAAAAATACATAATAGTGTTTAAAAAAATAACTAGAACTAGGGCTTATTGTTGTATGATTGTTAACAAATCAAGAATAGTAGGTAAGTGAAATTAAGTAATAGGTACATATAGAAATAAAATAAATGAAAATGGTAAAATGTTAAATGACCTTGTTTGTTGTAAAGTATCTGACAACTAATCTTGACGTTTATGACATAGTTCTGTTTACGTTTATTTTCTAGAGAGTACGCGCCCTATATTGAAGAAAATGAAAACGTTATTGTTTTAAACACTACACTATTATGTATTTTTATCATTTTCATGGATAATTAGATCGAAATGAAAGTAATTGAAAGATCTTGGTTATTTGAAGTATTTTAGGTATGGTGCATTAAGACCTTTGTAGAGAATTTAATAATCTGTCGTATAATAAAATAATATATAGGGTGTTCCGTATACAAAATCACATTATCTGAGAAATGCGATGTTGTTTTGTTTTTTTTTTAACTAATGATTTGGGTCCAGTAGAAAAAATACATAATTTTGATGTTAGCCCTCTTTCTAACTACTCTACAACTAAGAAAGTTAGCAATAGTGCCGACAGACTATATAAAAAATATAGGTGTTGCATAAAATAATTAACAACTTTGGGTCAAATCTCAGAAACGGTAGTAAAAAATTTTTTTTTACTACGTCACGTGGGCTTATTTCGTAACTAAGAGAGTTCGTATTAACATTGGTCCCCAACCGCTTCTTTGCCGATCTACAGGGTGTTAAAATTTCAAGATTTTTTAAGTTTTTTTATATTCCCCGCAATTTTTCAGATTTGGAATATATGTTATGATGCTGAGGGTCGTGTGAATGGTAGGGAAAATCTACAGGGTGCTCTTTTTTCAGGGGTCATGTCCCGTTTTGTTCTACCCCGAACTTTTTTTTCGGTGCGCCACTGGTAGATTGTGAAACAAGAATTAAATTTTCTGATCTGTAATTGTTTGGTCGCTTGGAATTATTTCGTATTCGTGACCGTTCTCGAGAAAAAAAAATTTTAACTAAATAAATGCATCATTGGTCCGTAGGTCTTGTTTTTTTTTTGATAATATCTTGTTTTTATTAGTTTTGACAGTTGTTGGCATTGAAAATTGTATCTTCTGTTTGCATATGTTTATAAATTGAAGGTTTAAATTACAAAGAATACGGTGAAATTATAATATCCTGTAGATCGGTAAAGAAGTGCTTGCGCTTGCTAAACTTTTAGTCATAAAATAAGCCAAAGAATTAACCCTTTCTGTATTTGCATCATATTTAGGTACACCCTGTATAGGCCTACTCGTATTAGCACACATTGTTGTGTTTTCGCGTGCTACTTGTAGAGTTTGGTTGTTTCTGTAGTGAACGTTGTTTTCGCTACCTAGATCGTTTCGTACACCTTCACATTATCTTCCATTCCGCTTTACTCTCTCAGTCAATTTTTTTCCTTCCTTCAAGCCTGCTTCTTCATGCATCCTTCTCTGCCCCCCCCCCCCACAAATTATTTCCTGAGATGCTGTTTCTGAAAGTAAAACGTGCATAGCTTTTACATTGTCCTCTAATTAAAGGTCTCACGAAAGGAACCGTTTTCTACCAACTACTGCCCTTCTTTCTGTCTTCTTATCAAAGTACGGGTGGAGGGGAGGGGGGGGGGGGGGGGAACTAGTTTTATCCTTCATGGTACTCTAATGAAAGGTCTCAACGAAAGGAATTAATTTTTACCAACCATAGCCCTCCTCCTCGACCTCTTATCGTGATCGGGTATATTATCCCTTATATCTCAAGAACGTATTGTCGGAAGAGGGTACTCACAAAGGGCGATTGAGACGTCAAGAAATATATCCATTGTGGATGTTAAAACAAAAGCTATTTCGGTTAAAAAATGCGCTTTATATGCACAAGAGTTGTGCACAATTTATACTAGTTTAATCGCTTCTTCGTTCACACCTCCTCCTTTATTGTCTCCTTTTAACGTTTCTTTCGCGTCTTTTCACCTACTTCCTCAAGTCTAATACTTATACAAGAAGTTTTCGCACCCATCTTGCTTTAGTCAGAAAGAATCTAGTGTGAAATCTATTAAGATATTTAATTAATTGATTTAGATTTTAGAGATTATATACACAAGGAATCTATTTCAGGTTTTATCGTCGTGGCAGCTTGCGTAATGACCTTTGAGGCTCGAGACTCTGCCGCCAAGGTCGTACCTGCAAGATTTAAATTGAGCAGCACCGGTCCACCAAGCGGCGCCCCACAGTGCGCCTATCCTTCCCACGCAAATCGATCAACGCACAATTCCCTGAGGACATCAGGATCTCAAACGACTAATTTGCAATATACAAATCACATGCATAGTCCGACAGATAGGCACGCACTTACCCAGTCTTTCATGCAGTTTTCACGAGGCCTTGTCGTAGATTCGCAAACAAAAAGTACTTCGCCACAGGTAAAAGTCAATTAAAGCCGTTCAAGCGTTGATGTCAGCCGCGTTTCAGGGTTCCGTATCAAAAAGTCCATCTGCTCCAAATTTGGCTGTCGAGCACGGAAATAGTCCGGAAGAAACTTCCATTGCGGTACCAAAGTTAATAGCGCAAGAAAGCGTTGTTAACCCCAAAAGTAGAAGAACGTTCGCGGCGTGTGCGCTTCTCAACCCGAGCCTTCTCCATCGGCATGCTATCTCTGTCGACGAAACCGCCGCTACATATCGGTGAGTACGAAAAGGCCTATTCGATCGACTTATTGTCTCACAGTTTAAGCCACGAATCCTTGCACGGTAGTGGAAGCCAAGGTTCCATGGCTCTCGATCTGCACCTGGAATATCCCGTAACTCTAAAGGTTCGCGATCGCAGAAGAAATCCCCTGAGACGGCAACAACGAGTGGACGAGGACGAGCGACAGGGTCAATCGGATGGATCGCGTCGAAGTTCGCATTCGTGTTCCCCAAGAGTTTCTTTGAGACGCGGGAAAGGTAAAGAGCATCACATGACATCATTATCCACGGGCAACTCCACGCATCATCTGCCTTCGCACACGCCTTATATTTGCCCATCTTCTCGAAGACGTAGCTCGAATTCTTCCGACTGTACGCATCGGACACGCGTAAAACGACGCGAATGTTTGCATACACGGGGACGTCTCGAACGCGCCATAAGCTCCGACTCACGACTGACAGGCGCGATTCCCAAGTGTTATCACCACACACCCCCGACATCGATGGAGCAAGAGACTGAGACAAAGTCTGATACTGACATACGTCACCTACCCCATGCGATTCCCCAAAGACATTACTAGATGATGCAATAATTGTTGTTATTGTTGTTGTTTGATGTACCTATACACGCGCAGTTATCGGTCAACAGTGCTCTTCCATGTTGGTCATCTGTGAGAGTATTGGGTGACCGTAACTGTTATACCGAAAAGCCTCTTATGACATGTCATAGTTGCCAGATGTACGCTCATCCATTAAATTTATGTGTTCACTTCATTGATTTCCGTACAAATCAATATGCACTCTATCTTGGCAATAACCTTTAGTGTTCGCCTAATTACGGTAAACATATTTCACAAGGTGAACTGCTTGATATCTGAAGAGGCGCAACAGGGTCACGTTTACAGTAGTCGGGTGAAATTCACTCACTAATTTAAAAAAAAAGTAATAATCAAGTGCAATCAATTCAAAAAGCTCTTTGTGAATATTTTTATACACGCCCATTGTACGAATTCTAAATCTGATTATGTATTTTGTAGGTCTACTTACATTCATCCCACCCTGTAGATGTATATAAGATCACTTTATGTACATTGTGTGTTCACACTAATCTTGGAAACGTCTTATGAAACCTGAATTGTTTAGATACAAAGATCGTCGATAAAATACAATAAAAAACGCTTTTTTTAAGAATCTTATATGGAATTGCTCACGCACAGAAAATATATGTGTTCTATTTGAAACACTGGAGCACGTATCGAATTTTAGAGACGTGACGAAATCGAATAGCAATGAGTTCGATTGTTCTCTTAGGGAAAAATTGGGAGACTTCCATTTTTTCTAGAAAGACTGTCGATGTAGATATATCTTGTAGAAACAGTTTTCAATATATCGGTACTCTAAACGATTATTTAAATACCACCGATTGCAAGCAATTATGTACTTACTTTTGTATGTTAATATATTAGGGGCAGGTTTATATATCAGTTAAACACGTCAATGTGATCAATGTAACTCACCGATATTTGTAGAGGACGTAATATAATATACACGTGTGTTTGCTCACTGGTAGGAAGTAAATAATAAACGTCCACAATGGAATTGTAACATTTCCTAGTGTTTGTTTTCCACCTTACCAACTACATTGTGACGTTATTTTCTTTACCGTCTAATCGTTGCTTTGCCTTGCATTTGAATTACGATGTGGAATCCTTCTCGAATAACATTATGCGAACTCTTATCTTTATATAGCAATCCTTACGCCATCTAGGTGTTCACATTGTAACCTGATCCGTTATTTGTGATATATCTTTCTTTTAAAACCTTCCCGTCTAGATTTCTGTTGCGCGTTTTTTCTCCCACTTGCTGTTGGCGAACGCAGACGTTGTTGAAGAACTCGAATCGATCTTGACTTGTACTTGAGCTACACGCCATTACACTTACTTGACATTATTGTCTACCTTTTTGGGATATTATATGTGGTGTTTGCATTAAGATTAGTGAAGTTTTTCTGTTATATCTTACTTCCAACTTCGCTGACCCATTTCTGCGGATTTATCTTACAAGTTTAAGGCCGATTACGGTATGTTATCTATGACGCATTACCTTTTTACTTTAAATAATCCATTTCAGGCTACTTTCGTACTCCCTGAGTTATCTTACTTCTTATTTTGGAGTTACCAATTGCTTTCTGATTGTGCATTGATATTTCTAAGCGGAAACGCGAATGCCCGATTTGCGATATTGTGCAAGAGAATTCATTGAAATTTCGACGCCATTACCAGTCAAAAACACCCTGCATATTTCTACCTTATCGACTGAAGAATTACCGCCATTTCGTGCCCAATGACCCAATTTTGCGAAGTTCGTTGACCTACGATTGATTCCTCCGACACGCAAGTACCTAAATAACAAGACCTGTGGAGTTGGTACTGTGTAAATCGTTCGTATGTATTGGTATACCCAGTTACCATTACGTTTAGTTTTGTCGTTACCGAAGCTTAGATTAACGATAATATCATCTACGATTGACATCACATTTGTGTTACTCCGACACTTATATTTGTTAGTTTACTATATTTTATCCTTCATATTGACTACTTTTGTTTGTGATCTAGTTCTTAAAATTGCCGACTTTGTCCGAAGTAAATTTCTACAATTTTAATTAATTTTGCTCTGAAGAACTTGCTCGTATAAGTTTGTTTTCATTTGAATTGATAAGATTGCTTTGTCATTGAAGAGAGATTCAGTTATTTGTACATCTTATAGTATTTTTATTTTAAGACTTCATGTCACTTTTTGATATCTCATACCGATTGTAAAAACCAACCCTTAGTCGAACCAAATTTTGTTTTGTCGTAAAGTCATTTGAATTTTTGATTCTTTTTAGTATTGATTGCAATTCTACGTATAAGAATAACCCTTCGTGTCTTACGTTAACCATTGCTTATGCGATATATTGTGCAACGCGAATCATTACCCTTCTTATATTTTGTTTGTTTGTGTGTCTGTCTGTTTACAGATTTGCAGTTTCGCGTCCTCTGAGCTCAGAAGGTTGCGACCGTAGTTCAAAGGTAAATTTAGTTGTTTTCGTCGTTTTTCCCTTTTAACGTTTGATTACATTTTGGGTTTTGTTTGATACTAACGAGTTGTGACTATTACTTTGTTTGAAAGTCACTTAATGATTATAGCTCCGTTGTTTCTGCGGAAGCCCTTTTGGATAAATACTTTCCCCGGCTACGTGTTGGCTTCTCTCTTGTTTTTATTAGAGATTATTTTAAATTCCCATTTTGACATACCAGATCTATCTATTACAGTGTCAGTAGATTTGTGATATTTTGAGATCATTGTATTAAAGTATTAAACCACCCGCATTTATGACATCAAATATTGTTTATGTTTCTTTCCCCATAATTGTGCATTCCTTCGAGTTTAGTAAGACGAGAACAAGGATCTCTTAGTCTGCTTTATTTATCCCTTTAGTAAGTATTCCTCCCTCTCTCTCTCTAGATTTATCAAAGACTAAGTGGCGCCTATTCGGATTACTTTTACTATTTCCTTCCCTTTTTGGCTTATTTGTGTTTGTATACAAGAACCTCATATTCACCCCGACCCACCTCTACTTTGCCTGAGCTTACCCTGTGCTTATCTAAGGTCGACTAGAGAAACCGAAATGGAACCAACGCAACTTTTGGAACCGCGTCAGCGAATCCGAAAGCCCCGATCTTATCCGCTATTCATTTTCAGCTCAGAAAAGGGGAACCACCGAAGTCAAACGTTTCGCTAATATCTTGGTAAAAACCCACGCATTCCAAATGAACACTCTTGTCGTTAATAAACTGACTCGGGCCAACTGTCCGTATTAAGCGATACATATGCAATTTTGTCCATATATAAAATTCGAAAACTGCAAAGCGCTCCAATACATTACGTAAAATGGTACTACCAAAGGGTACCCACTCTTTGATACTACAACTAAGATCACAAACTAACAGAAAGAAGGCCCACGAATGCGATACATTTTGTTTACGCTATGTCCTTACTTGTTTTTGTTTTACCGAGTTTTTACACCGTTACCTAAATCATGTTTATTTGTTGTTGAGAATATGACAAAACATTCATAGCGGCAACACTGTTTTATGTATTATATATATATATCTGTGGTAGTAGTACTTGTCCGTTGTCCGTGTAAATGTCGACACGTCAATTCTTTTTCTTGATACGTTGTTTTATTATTACGTTTATTTTCTTACGATTATAACATTATTTATAAATAAATAATGTTTATAATAAATGCTACAAGAGGTTATGGGCCCAGGCTGCATTGAAACTGCGTGAAGCTGAGTGATACCTGTGAATTGTGATACCTACAGCACGTGCTCACTGCTCGGTATAACCTATAAAAAAAAAGCGTTTGGTTTTGTAAGATTTATCATCCATCGGTGAAGAGATGGATTTTAAGATCAAGATTGAAAAGTTAGAAGGGGCCAGAAACTGGAGTAAGTGGCGTCGGCAAATAGAGCTGCTGTTAAGACACCATGAAGTACTTGACTTGGTAAATGGTACAAGGACTTTGCCAGTGGCACCTGTGGATGAGGCGTCTGTTGCTGATCAAACTAAGTATGGGGTCGAATTAAAAGCATTCAAAAAGGACGATGCTTTGGCTCAATTAACCTTGATGACTGCAATGAATGAGACCAATATTGATCTTACTGTCTCATGTGATACAGCAAAATCAGTTTGGGACAAGCTAATTTCAATATATGAACAAAGTTCAAGTCAACGAGTGGACAGACTTCTAGAGAGTTTCTTCAGCTGTGAAAAAGATGCATCCGAAGATATCACGACGTATATCGCTCGTCTTCAGCGCAACTTCAGTGAATTAAATGAAGAAATGAAAAGCTTGGTGAACACTGTGCTCCCAGATCTATTGTTAATGAGTCGCATTATGTCCACGTTACCGAAAGACTACTTCGAATTTAAAAGTGTGTGGGAATCGGTGCCTTTGCAAGATAGGACAGTAAACAAACTAACTGAACGATTGAGGCTTATAGAAATGCGTTTGCCTTCAAGGAAAGACGATTGTACCGCGCTAGTCGCTAAAGGTGGTAAAGATAGTGAGAAATTTGATAAGGAAAAATGGCGGAAGTGTTATAAGTGCCGCAAGGTTGGTCATCGTGCGAAAAACTGTCCCAGAAGAGCGGGAGATTCAAAATTACAAGTGGAGAAATCTGCAAAACCGACCGGGGAAGCATTTGCGTGTTTTTCCGGGTGTAGAAATCCCAACAATAATTGGATTGCTGATTCTGGCGCGTCAGTGCATATGACCATGAAAAGAAAGTATTTTCTTACTTACAAATCTTTTGCTATTCAAAAACCGGTACAAGTTGGAAATGGTCAAGTTATTTATGCATACGGGCAAGGCAAGGTGAACGTCGAAATGAAAATTAATGGTGTTTGGGTACCAAACTATTTAGAAAATGTTTGGTATGTGCCAGAAATAGGACGTAACTTACTTTCAATCGGGGAAACAATAAACAAAGGCTTCGAGTTTCGAGCAAACGGTAACAGGTGTGAATTTGTAAAACACGGAACTGTACGATTAAGTGGTGAAAAAACAATTAAAGGTCTATATGAACTAAACATGCGGGTTCGCTTACCAGCAGCTGTTCAAAAAGTTTTTGTTGCATCATCAACAGATACTCTACAATTATGGCACGAAAGGCTAGGCCATCAGAATAAACGTCATGTCAAGACGTATTTACAGCGCCACGGCTGTGTTGTTAAAGGTGGTACGGAGTTCTGTGACGGGTGTGTTTTCGGAAAACAAAAACGTGCAAGTTTCGGTACAAGGATGAACAAATCTGCATCAGCAGGAGACCTAATTCATGCAGATGTGTGTGGTCCTATGCAGGAGAGTTCTCTGGGTGGTGCGAGGTACTTTGTCTGTTTTAAGGACGATTATACAAAATATAGACGAGTATTTTTCCTTACGTTAAAATCTGAAGTGGTTGAATGCTTTAAAACATTTGTGAATGAAGCATTTACGTTAGGGCATGTAATCAAAGAACTTTTATGTGATGGAGGTAAAGAATTCGACAACAATAATATGAAGTCGTTTCTGAACTCTAAGGGTATTAATCTCCGTGTTACTATGCCTTATACGCCCGAACAAAATGGCTCCGCAGAACGTGAGAATCGTACACTTGTGGAAAGCGCTAGAAGCATGATTCATGCAAGGGATTTGCCGATTAGGCTGTGGGCTGAGGCTGTAAATACGGCTTGTTATATTTTAAATCATACGAGCCCCACTCAATTTGAAAAACCTCCGTATGAATTGTGGTACGGGAGAGATGCTGTTCAACCAAACCATTTGAAGATATTCGGTACCAAGTGCTTTGTGCATGTGCCTAAACCAAACCGAAGAAAATGGGATAAAAAGGGTATTCCTGGATATTTTGTTGGTTACTGTGGTGTAAAGGATGGATATCGTGTATGGATCGAGTCACGCCAAAAAGTTATGCTAAGTCGCGATATAATTTTTTCAAAAGAGGAGATTCTGGAAAATGCTCAAGATGTGACGACACCTGAAATCCATGGCAACGAAGTGACCATTGTTTCGAGTAAGAAGTATCCGTCACCGAATGAAAATGTGGTATCTCAAAATTGTCAAGGGGAAGAATCCGCTGTGGACGAAGTCACAGAGGTCGAAGCACAAGAAGAGGATTCCATTAGTGAAGGCATCGTTATGGAGGAAGCACCTGGACAAGATGCGGAGGAAGTAGCGGTTCAAAAGATCGTTACGGACGAAATATCTGCTCGAAGACAATGTAAAAAGCCAGCATACCTTAACGATTATGTGTTGTTTGCGGAACATTCGCCACTGCACTCGTTTGCCACAGCAATGAACTCTGACCATTGCGAGGAATGGAAACACGCCATGAAAGAAGAAATCGCTTCACTTCAGGAAAATAATACATGGGATCTAGTTCAATTACCACCAGGCAAGAAATCTGTGGGAAGTCGATGGGTTTTAACGATAAAAACCAAACCAGATGGAAAACAGCATCGTTTTAAAGCCAGACTTGTTGCAAAAGGCTATGCACAAAGGGTTGGCGTCGATTTTACTGAAACTTTCAGCCCAGTAGCCAGGTTCGATACAGTTCGAACGTTGTTGAGTGTGGCAGCTTCGGAAAAATTGTACACAAAACAATTTTATGTAAAGACTGCGTTCCTTTACGGCAAATTGGAGGAAGAGGTGTATATGAAGCAGCCGGAAGGGTTTGAAGACGGCACTACAAAAGTGTGTAAACTCAACAAGAGCATCTACGGTCTAAAACAGTCTCCACGCTGTTGGAACAAACGTCTAATGAACTTTATGTTACACAAGCAACAGTTTAAACAAAGTAAAGCCGATCCTTGTTTATTCATTAAAGGGACTGTCAAATCAAAGGTCCTGGTTGCAATCTATGTTGACGATGGGATCGTAGTCGGAAACAACAAAGAAACCGTAAATGGTTTCATCGATGATCTGAAAGTGGAGTTCCAAATAACGGAAGATGATCTTAGTTGCTTCTTAGGTATGCAGATATCGAATTTATCTAACGGGTCTATCTTTGTAGGTCAGGAAAGCTATGTCAGTCACATTTTGCAGCGTTTTGGTATGGAGAATTGCAACTCTGTATCAACGCCATGTGAGAAAATTGCACAGCTGTTCGAATCTGATCCTAAATTAGATGAGAAGGTGCCGTATCGTGAAGCAGTAGGCAGTCTCATGTACTTGAGCATTGCAACAAGACCCGACATCGCATATGCTGTTAACAAGGTATCCGAATCGTTAGAAAATCCGACGTTTTCAAATTGGCAAGCCGTCAAAAGGATATTCAGGTACCTAAAAGGATCTGCGAACGTGGGCATTGTATACAAGCCAAAGTACAAGGCTGGTGAACTAGAAGCGTACAGCGATGCAGACTTTGCCGGCGATCATAAAACTAGACTATCAAGATCGGGTGCTGTGTGCAAGTATGCAGGCGGTGCGATAACTTGGGCCAGTCGAAAGCAAAGGAGTGTAGCTTTGTCCACCACAGAATCCGAATATATTGCTGCAAGTGAATGTGTTAAAGAAATCGTGTGGCTAAAGGAACTACTAAGTGAGATTATAGAACTGCAAGGTGTTCCGTGCCTCCAAATCGACAATGCCAGTGCGGTAAAACTCGTCAAAAACCCGGAATTCCATAAACGAACGAAACATGTCGATATAAGATACCATTTCATCAGACAAAAATACGAAGACGGCGAAATCACAGTACGTCATGTGGAAGGAGAGCATCAACTTGCCGATATATTGACAAAAGCACTACCACGTCCTAGATTTGAAGATTTGCGAATGAGGTTAGGAGTGTTACCGGTACAGGGTGTGACAAAAGTTTTGGGAGGAAGTGTTGAGAATATGACAAAACATTCATAGCGGCAACACTGTTTTATGTATTATATATATATCTGTGGTAGTAGCACTTGTCCGTTGTCCGTGTAAATGTCGACACGTCAATTCTTGTTCTTGATACGTTGTTTTATTATTACATTTATTTTCTTACGATTATAACATTATTTATAAATAAATAATGTTTATAATAAATCCTACAAGATTTGTTACTATTCTTACACAGGTGGTTATACCTTTATATTCTTTTATTAAGTGTTTATTTATGTATTCACGTGAAAATATATTATCAGTATTGTAATGGAACCGAATTTGCCCGCTAAAATTCGATTTAAATATTCCCGAAACCGACCCTGGCGCGACGAAAAAAAGTCAAGATTTCCGTGTAACACGTGTTTTTTTCTCTGCTCTACGTTGAAATGGGCCATAATTTACAATAAAAGTGTCAAATATAACGCTATGCGAGGGAACCTAATGATTCCTATCGACCCGACGTCTCGGAGCACGGTCGATATTAACAATTTTCGTCTAGGATTTGATTAAAGAGGAGAGATTTAGGCAGAGGTATTTGTGCTGTTGTTGAGGGCAGAAGTAATTTTTACGTTGCGTGAGTGCAGCTTCGACAATTACAAAGGTGATGTACTCGTTTTTTATCTCTACGTCTATTGCATCCATTTAATAATGATATCATCGCATTCGATTATTTGCCAATTTAATGTTATTCTCGTACAGCATGATTATTGCCCTTTAAACCCATTCTATATACAAATTGCACTTTTAATTATGCTGGTCATATTTTGAATTAAATGCATAGAGATTCTACATAAATATATTGTTTTCCAATTTATAGTACTCCTTTGTTCCAAGCGCTGGCAACATGAATTACTGGCCGATTTACGTGTTTTTATTTATATTTAGATACAGTATGTTCCCTTAGGGGCGATATTCAATACAAGTATGCAAAACTACCTTTTAATTTATAATTGAATTTATTGCAACACATTTCCCTTTTGTTTGCATCATGAATATGTTACTGTTTATTTACAGGGTGCTTCATCTGGGGGCAAGTGACGTACGTTAGGTGGTTGATTGTTACATATTGCACTTGGCATTGAGAATTAATTACATTACACTAATGTTTGCCACGACATGTTCCTTTGTTTTGTTGTAAAGTGATACATAACGTTATGCTCCTACTATTTATTTGAACCGGGTGATTATGATTATTAATATTTGGCAGGGTGACTTGTTTCGAATATGTACTGTGCTATATTTGATATTGATATTTGATACCGATATTTAATATCTCGATTTGACGTAGCAGAGGTTGGCTAGTTCAGAACTGACATACGCAGAGATATATGTTTTATGTACTGTTTTTTTGTGTCTTCGAAAAGAGCCATCTTGCCCATATTGCTAAAAGCGTGCAGCATGTTCTCGTTGTGACCTTTTGTTTTTGTTATCAATTTGGAGTATCTTTCCTATGTGAAAGGCTCTTCTGAGAGGCCAACTCCTAGCGATTTCATACAATGTTGTCATGTCATGACGAGAGCAACTAAAGACTACTCGGTGTGGAATTTGGACTGGCCATCCAATATCCAAACCTATTATGCGAATTTATTGTAATGTTTTAATGATTGTTTTTTGTTATGTGTGTGAAATATTGATTCTTTAGGGATTCCAGCAGAGCTTGTGATTCAACATTATCTTAATTTACTTGACAACCATCATAATATGCATTCATGCCATTACAGACAACTAATTTTGCTATAAAGTTCAATGTTAATTTGTTGGCTGGGTTTTTTCTTGGTCAGTTCTTTTTTTCCCAGCATATTTTTATATTTGTACTCGGTGAACTACCATTTTCTAAATTTAATCTTGCAATGCGAATTATTTGGATTAAATCTCCGGTTTTTAAAGCATGTACTTGTCTTATTTGTATTCCTTACTTGATCCTCACTCCGACAGGCAACACATATCTTGTAACGACTCTTAAAAACACAACGTAGTAAGTGGTCCTATTATTCGGTTATTCAGATTAGGAAGCTTTGTATAGACGATCACGTGCCATGGGGTTCAGTTAGTTTGGGAGGGAAAGCTTTGAATTTAAATCTTAAGTTGCGCAGTCTCTCGGGGCTGGCCTGGGTACATTACAGATCTTTACCCTATAAGAAGGAAGTTTATTGGATTAACGTTTCATAAAGGATGTTAAAAATGATAGCTAGCTAAATTGAAAACTCACCTAATTTTAATTTATTAAATACATAAAACTTACAAAAATTTAGTTGAGAACATTTAAGCGAGACCATTTCGTATAAGTATAGCATGTCTGTTTATATCTCCCTTTATAAAAGGCACATTCAACAAGATCAGTAGCACCCACCCCAGTATTTCATCCGAAAAAGTTCATCGGCATCACGGTTCATCCTTCTTTACCTCCTCTTCAGGTGGAGTGAAGATCGTAGCGGTAACAGTATCGTTTGTTATTTCCACAGTATTTACCGGACTTCCGGCGGCATCCTCCATGTCCTGCACCTCCAGCTTTTCGTCGACGGGCTTATGCAATTCCCTCGCTTCCTCAAGTATACTCGACTTCAACTTTTCCACCTTATCAAACGCCCTTTCTTCGGTACTGTGCGCAACTTCGGAGACCTCTTCTACCATATTGTCCACTTCTGAAGCCAACACGGTTTCGGCCTCCGAAACCACTTCCAAGGTCTCGTTGGCTTTACTTCCGGCGTCTTCGACAACGCCACCGAGCACGTCTTCGGTATCTTCGTGCACAGTTTTAAAAGTATCACTCACTTTTCCGATTGACGAACTAATGTTATTTCCCACAGTTTCGACTGCCGATGCAACTGCAGTTTTCACCTGGTGCGCGCCTTCGACCAATCCATCTTTTGCGGTTTCGCCGGCGTCTAGAACGAAAAACAAATTTTCATCTTGCGTGCCCTGCGAGTTCCGCTTTTTCCCCATTTAAAGCAAATCACGTATTTTAGACATGCAAAACATAAATTAAAAATGTGCCCTTGGTCATACCTATAAGCAAAATCAAGAGTGCACTTATCAATCAATATAAATATTTACCTTGTATCGCATGTTCTCCCTTATGTGCAAAATCGACGACGGAATCCTTCGCATTCTCCACTAAATGTTTACCGGATTCGATGAGGGGGTTGCTACTAGCGCACCCCATCGTGCAGTCGACTCCGTACAACAGCAGATTCGAAACTAGCCAGAGGTCAGTTAACACCCCTTTCCAACTCGCAATTTATGATTATTCAGAGCACGCAACAGTTACGTGGAATATTTAATTAGTGTATATATTCCCGATTTAGCAATCATTTTGGTGGTGTTCTTTGTTGCGGGAGTTAAAACTAAATGTTTCCCAGAAAGCCAACTTGTTGGAAGATAGATTAGTTTCCGCTTTTTTTTATCGATCACCTTCAAGAAGGCTTTTTTGCAATACTCCACTTGAAAAGGTTAATGTTAGAGCATAATATTTTAACGGGGTAGCTATAACGAAAACTAAATGAATCGATATTGGTCGTCGACCCTGTTTAATTAAGTGGCATTAACAACTGCTGTAATTTTGCGAGAAAAGTTGTCCCCCGTATAAAGGTCAAAAGTTCGCTAGTGGTGCTCCAAAAGGTTAACACCAGGAAGTATCATAATTTCTCCTTATTTCAAAGGAATTAGTAAAGGAGTCGGTACAAAGAATGGCCACAGAATAACCTTTTGTTGAATCAATATCAGTTTAGACTTATAATTATTTATAGACGTCGTTTCATTATACATTATGCAAACCAAAGGTCTTTGAAAAATCGTTAGCCTCTCTAAGGTAATTTTATTTATTATACACCTTCTGTTTGGGTACCATGTAATTTTCGTCGTCTATTTTTGAAATAGTACAATGTGGTTCATTCATTATTGAGTAGGATTCGTAGTCTCCTGAATCGCATTAACTCATTGTACGATTTCTCAACGTTTCTGTTAACATTCAATAACAAAGTTGCGTATTTTAGGGCTTAAATGATGTTTTAAAAATTCGGAAGTCCGATTAACTCCGAAGATATTCGAAGAAACACTTGCGCATGCGCGATTCTGCCATCTTATGTCTAAGAATGAGTTTAGTACTAATTAATTTGGTTCCAATCGGTTCAGCCGAGGCCTACGATACTTACAGGCCGGAGCGCTCGAAAAAGTACGTGACCTTAGGAGTCGGTTCGGGACACATTAAATAGGGGGGAGAGCGGGAGGGAGGGAAGAAGGCAGGGAGGGAGAGTGAGAGATGTTGATTTTTTTAATTTTTTGTTAAATGGGTACGTCTTATGTTTTTTTTTTATAATAACAATAATAATAATAATATAATATTATTGTTGGTGATTTTTTCTTTCTGACATCATGTGGCATTTGAAGGTAGATAGTTACGTGGCATTTCCAGGCAGGGATTTTGTGTTGCACTCTACCATGTTTTATAAGGGTTGTAATGGGATTAAGTTTTGTTTTGAAAAAAACACAAAAGCTATAGCATGAGCCGTGCTGTATCGCAAAGGACATCAAAAAGTTTCAATATAACCTTGAGTGCAAATACCCTCAAGTTCATAATTGTTTTTTAATAAATATTTGCAATGCAAATCACTCAGAAACTTGAGTTATGCGTTGATTTAATCGCCTTCTGACATGCTATGCACACAACGATCCTTACGCAAAGTGAGTGTACGGATGCTTTTCTGAATGGTTTTCAAAGAACACGCATCTTGTTTACGGAAGCACCTCTATATATGCGCAGATAGGCATCACACCATGGATTTACTTGTTCGCCAAATGTAAAACCATGACTATAAAAAAGTTTCATTAAATGGTTTTGGCTTTTACGTGCTGACTCGACACAATTTAGTTCGTTAGCCCTTATCGATTTTATTTAAATTCGTACATCAGGAAAATCAAATTTTTCCAAGGCAGCTATTTTTAAGTATGACAACGCAGTTTTCCTATTCTCAATTTGAATCAGCAACGCTACGGCAATGCTAATGGAAGAAACGAAGAATAACGACGAGTGTGAAAGAAAGCATCAGACGTGAATAAGGTTAAAAGAAACCTCGGAGACAAGCAGAAAAACACATTGGAAGAAACCTGGATTATGGGAAAAACCGTAAAGAAATTGTTTTTAAGGAACCAGACAGTGTAACAGGTGTTGCATTTCAAGGTGGGAAAATCAATGGTCGTTTTATTTGGTCCTTCTTTTTACGGTAATGTTAGATTTTTTTATGTATCCACGGCTAGCTCAACTTTACTCAAATACTTTAATACAATTTCCTTAATAAAATCGACTTATTTATTTCCAACTTAAATATTTAAAATGATCTCTTCCGCTTTCTACCACTTTGATAGCGAATAAATACACAAAAAAAAACCTTTAAATTACAAACATCAATAATATCATATCATAGCTTTTTTACCCACTGAAAGGTTCCACCCTGTATATACAACTTACGACGATACATACATTTTTGAGAGTTGGCAACCATGCAATTTCTAGGTGGGAAAAAGCTGCCTGCGCCACCTAGAGAACGAACGGGGGTTACGTTTGGTATCTTGTCTTGAATGGCGGTCGTGAACGCGTCACTCCATAAATGTTTGTTGTTATTTTAAGTTATTTAATGCAGGTAGTAATTTTTGCATTTCTTTATATCGTATTTGTGTTTTGTATGCCGCATTTTATATTTTTTTGTGTGTTTCAATCTTTGTTTTTGAAATTTACTTGGTTTAACCGTAATGCAGAATCACATGTGTGATACCGTTATGCTATTGTTTGTAATTGTTTACGTTTTTGGTGTAATGTCTGCTTAATTTATGTTTATTGATGTTGATTACTTGGTCTTGTCCCTGAAGTAACATTCATGTAAGTTTTGATAATTTTATTTTAATATGTGGAAATTACCGATTCGTTTAAGGTATGTACTGATTTGTTGTTTATAACTAACAATTTTCTCCATGAATGAAGCAGTCACGAGGGTGTTAAAAAAAACTGTAGTCAAAATTGAAGTACGACACCTAATTCCGTGATTATCTTCGACATTCAACTGTAGGCTCGAAACCCCGAAACCAGGGGCGGGCTACCCATCTTGCAGGAGCGGGATAACGGTAATCAAAGCTCTTCAGTTTAGAATCTATGTGCGATAAATGAGTGGCAATTCAATAATTTCCACATATCTTGTTTTTAGTTAAATTTGCCTACAAGTCTATGTAATTTTCCATCTTGCTTTTAACAAAAGGACTTTATTGCACCAAAGATGAGTCATATCCTGTACTCTTAACCCTTTCTCAGAATTTAGGTACCTGCTACTACCTGACCCATTGGCCCCAAAAACTTTTACTATCTTTGTTAACTACTGCGAGAGTACGACACCTTTTGACTTTGCTTGCATTGTTTATATTAATGTACATCAACTAAATTTCCGGGCTCTCACAATCTTAATAATTACGATCATTATTAAACAAACTTTTCACAATTTCAGTGTTTTATTTAACGTTCCTTCCCTACTGTGCTTCAGGTCATAGCGTTGTTTATAACCAGAGCTGGCCAGTATTCGATGTTGTAAATACTTTTTAGTATTCAAATCCTTTAAAGTATTCAAATACTTTGTAATTAAATACTTTTATGGAAGCAGTATTTTATATTTGTAACTCAAATACTTTCACAAATATTTAGTATTCGAGTACTTCGCAAGGTATTTGAATACTTTGAGAATACTTCGCATAGTATTTGAATACTTAACCTTCCTTTTTTAGCAAAAAAACACTACTCCAAAATTCGGGCCTCAAAAAAAAGCAGTGTATAAACCTTCCTATTTTACCAAAAATCGACTGCACCAAAATTTCTCGGGAAAACACTTTTTCTTATTAATTTTGGTGCGTAGAATCCAAAACAATTCGTACTTTTTCGATCAGACTTCTCAATCAAAAGTTATAGACTAGAAACCAATTTCGAAAGAAAATTCAAAGGGCTGTAACTTTTGAACTAGTAGCCCAATCTTGGAACTGTTTGAAATTATGGATTCTACAGCTCACATTCTATAAGAAACTTTTTTTCCGGGTCGATCTGAGACAATTTTTCTTTCGCGCCCCAAAAAAAAGGCAGTGTATAACCTTCCTTTTTTACCAAAAATCGACTACACACAAATTTCTCGGGAAAACACTTTTTCTTATTAATTTTGGTGCGTAACATCCAAAACAATTCGTACTTTTTCGATCAGACTTTTGAAAGTATTCGAATACCTTTGAAAGTATTTGAATACTTTTCAATGTATCTGTATCTAGTATTCGCTTGTGCTGGACGTAAAAGTATTTGGTATTCAAATACCTTGATTTGTGTAAAGTATTTACTATTTAGTATTCAAATACTTTTTGAAAGTATTCTGCCCAGCTAACGTAAGGGGGCCCTGCCTTAGATGTTTTATCACGTGCCACTTTTCAAATTTAAGGGGGATCTTGTTTAGTTTTGGAGGGAATGGTGGCCATTTTTAAACGTTGCCGGGTTGACTTTATTTCCGTGTTCTTGTAGTGTGAAGTTAGCGTAGAATCTAGGGGTTCAGTACACTACACCACAACTTATTTTTTTTTACAAAAACCAAACGGGTAAAAATGATTAAACCGAATCTTTAAATTATATTTCTAATTACTGTCTCCAGGTTTACAATCGGTCAAAATCCTTAAGTAAAAAGGTCCAAATATACAAAAATACTCTTTACCTTAATCATACGGCGTCTAAAACTACCCCTTGAGTCGTCCAACGTTGGAAAACTGCATCACCCACTGACTACACAATAGAATTTAATTTACTGTCATTAACGCTCATTATGGCATGAATCCTAAATAGATTTAGGATTCATGCCATAATAAGCGTTAATGACAGTAAATTAAATTCTATTGTGACCGCAAGAACAATCAATTGAAAGAGTTTGAGGCGGTTTCTGTATAAAAGTTGCTGAATTAAAAACAAAAATAGTATCGTCAGTTTATTCGCGACAAAGTTATCTGAGCGTGTATATTTATAAACTTTAATCGACATCGAAAGTACGCCAGTGTCCATTGATATCTTTGACCTGGTTGAATCACGAGGTTGCCTATTTAATTGTCAACAATTTTGCCATTACCCGTAAAAAAACTGCAAATACCAAAGGACGCTGACCTTGCCCTAGGGGAATTTTCCACCTGGAGCTCGACGTCAATTCGAAATACATAATACGAACGAACAAGGTATTGTGACTTGTTTGTAACCTAAAGTAACTTCTGTAGTTTCGATATTGTAACCTATGATGAGATTGCCTTCCGCGTTTTCATCACCTTTTACACGGCTCGATCGAGTTCGTAAATCAGCCAATTCCGCCATATTGGAGCAAAAGTTACCAAGTTTTGGTTAAAAAAAATAGTTACACTTACTTATAGGATTACTATAGATTCGCAACGACGAAAGTGAGAGCGTCCAGACTATTAGGTATTTTAATTTAATGAAATAATCCGCCTTGAAGGACTAATAGAAGAATAGGCGCCCGGAAGTGGTCGTAATTACCTTTATCGTATTGTCGGCCTCGATTCCGGCGAAAACCGCATCAAAAATTTTCTCGTACAGGATTTTAACATTTCTCCATAAGACCTTAATCTATATACAGTCTCACCGATACAATTTTGCATTTCTAAAATACGCCCAACAAAATTTTTATTTTTTTAAATTTTCAAATCCAGCAGGTGAAGAAAGGTAAAAATAACTTCAGGGTTAAGTAGATTCATAACAGAATCGTTTTGCAACTTTGCCAGTGAAATAGGTACACCGAAAGCACTCTCATGTCATGCACTTTGCGATATGATTTTCATTTCAACGTAGCAATAATTGATTGAGAAATGAGTATTAAAAATGTGACCTATTTAATCGGTAAAGGTTAAATACCATGACTGTGCGGATCCAACAATGAATATTGTTCTCAATTTTTTGCATATTCGCGGCCGATTCCGTGTTTTATACATCTATAACGCTTAAAACGCTCAAAATTCCTTACGAAAATAGAAAAGGTAAGTACACAATATTATCATGAACTCTCAAATAAATAAGTAAACTCCGCCAATGATAATATTTATTGCTACGTAATGGCTTGCATCACAGAGGGCAATGATAACGAATTGTACTTAATAATGCGGTAGAACCATTTTAGTTTCTCTGTCTGTTTACATCGCGAAACAGTTTCACGTGTACTACCAAAAAATGGCACACTTAATTAGAAAGTTGATCAGCACACCTAAGGCACCAAGACCGGTAGCCCCTTATAAGTAAGTGCATGGTAATGGTGACGTTGATTAACGCATATTTTAGTCAAGCCGTTGTTTGGGATCGCACCGTGTACGTATCAGGATGTCTGGGTTTGGATAAAGACACCATGAAAATGGTTTCTGGGGGAATTAAACAGGAGACGCGCCAAGCCCTCGTAAACCTAGGTCATGTACTTGAAGCCGCCGACTCCGGATACGACAAAGTTATCAAAGTAACAGTCTTAATGAAGGATATCAAAGATTTCGGGACCATCAACGAAATTTACAAAGAGTGTAAGTATGTCGAAACCCATAATCTACCATGATGCAATAGCACTGAAAGCGTGTTGTGATTTAAGAGATGATTGCTATCACGTGCGTCATTACCGTAATACCGCAGTACAATGGTGGTAATGTTGTATTTTTAGTTTTCACAGAGAATTATCCAGCGCGCACTGCTTACGAAGTGGGAAATTTACCACTAAATGCTTTGGTTGAGATTGAGGTCGTTGCTGCAACTGGAGAAGTAAAAACGGTCTCATGAACTAAAGCCACTGTTTAGCTTCAAGTTATTTATTCACTTTTACGCACAGTTTTAAGGAAACAATAAACGCACGTAGCAAGTATTATCAATTGATTGTGTTAAAAGAGTACTAATTAAATTGCATTATTATTTTGTTGGTTTTATTCTTGTTAGCACATTTGAAACCTTTATTTTCTTTTTCCAGTTTTCAAGGAACACAACCCGGCGCGCACCGCTTACGAGGTGGGAAATTTACCACTCAATGCTTTGGTCGAGATTGAGGTCGTCGCAGGAACCGGCGAATTGGAAACTATGTCCTCAAAACTGTAATACTCTGGCCTTAAATATAATTACAATTTTTAAGCGTGGAGTTTTTTTTTATGCACCTCCGCCACTGACGTTATGTCCTTGGTAGATACGTCACTGGCGATAATTTTAGGTTAGGTGACGCGTATAACCTCACACTTTTAATGTAAGAGAAGAAATTATGTAATTCCCGGCCCCGATGAATATTCACAACACTCGTTTTCGCAATTTCCTAAATAAATGGCCCGGTAAAAGATACTTCGGCATTTACAGATTTCTTCCGATATTCTTTATCCTTGGAGCTGCCCTAGAATTTTCAATGATCAACTGGAGAGTCGGTGAAGTGAATTTTTGTAATACTACCCCAAGGGAACGTTATATCCTAATAGATTAACATTTACAACTTGCAGATAATACGTACAAACGTCGACAAGCGAAAAATACTGTCGAACAAGAACTCGGAAAAGTGTAAGCATGCCTGCGGGAGTTTCATGGCCCAGATATGTAACGTTTTTAAGTGCCGCTATGCTTACAATGTTAGCAGGTGCACAAATAGTACATGTATATTATAAACCGTTAAAGGATTTAGATAATTATATTGATGAGGAAATGAGAAGGCATGTGAAAAAATAAAGAATTGTTATTTGTTACAGAGCGTTACTTGTGGAATAGGTTTTGTTTAATTGTAACAGCTAAGAATTCAGAAGCTACTTCTATGGAATTTGTACTGTACTAACGTAAAAAGTTTATGAACTCTGAAGAATGATTTATCGTACATCTCTTTAATTGATTGTGTTAAATTTCACTTAAATAAGCTCCCACGTTTACTTGCTTCCTTTTGTGGCTCTAAAGGTAGTGTAGTGCAGTAAGAGTGCCGTTCTAGGCTCTACAAGGCTGCCACAATCCGTACATTTAAAATCCTTCCAATTTTATGTGTATATATTATTTTAAGCTACGCTCAAGCTAAGCCTCACTTAAATTTGTCGGTGCATACGGCCATGACAGTGCAGCCTAGAATGTCTAGTGGAATTTAATTTATAACTAAATTCAATTCAATGCCAGAATATTTACTTTAAATCAGTCTTATAAAAAAAGGTGACAACACTGCACTGCATTTGTTTACTAAGGTTGCTTTGCTTTGTTAAAAAACGCCCAGTCAACCGATTAATAATGTATATAAAATATTCATTTATTGGACTTATGCGTATGTGTAACAATGTGCAATAAACGATTTGGTGGTAACTGTGTAAGTTGGTAGAAAAAGTCGTCCATATTACCATAAACACAGTTAACAGACAACGCGACCTGAATCGCTTGCGCATACCGATCTAAACTAAGTTGTAGCTCAGCATTTTCAATTAATCTGTTCTGTTTATCAATACCGTTATCATTTTCCTTACATTTTCTCTGATAGTCAATTAAGTACCTAATAATATTGCCCAATGGCTGCAGGAGATGCGCGGCGGAAATGGCACGGGGCGGAGTAACCGGTTGTATCTCCAATATACTGTTTAGTAAACCAAGATGTAGTTTTCCGTACAACTCGGAAGTTTGACCGTGAAGAGGTGCCAGGATAGTCCAATTTAGTAGGCCCGCTATTGGGGTAGTAGCTTCCATTGCTATTGCGCCTGGTGGTAACGACGATTGTGTCTGTTGTGCAGCAATGCACAGTCCTGTGTTGTCTTTAACCTGAAACACTTTCCATTGATACTGAAGCAGTGCAACAACGAAAACATACCCAAAGTGTAATCATTTCCAGTAAGTTTGTCGGGGGAAATAGAATTGGGTTTTTGTTTCCATCATTGAAGTACAAATTGGAAACTGCCGTCAGGAAATTAGCTGTGAATTGAGGTGCAATGTGAGGCAAAACGCTCAATTTAGGAACACTACTAGGCGACAAGATGAAATAGTCCTTAATTAACGATTTTGCCAATTGCTTACTGTTGGGGGACGTATTTCCTAACTGTTGCATCCAAACACTCGCAGAAAACAATACGCATGGTGCAGGAATACCAATTGCAACCGAAATTAATTTACCCAATATCTTTGACCTCATCATAGCCGTAGTACCGCTAAATAACGACAAGAATACTGCATTTCTCGATGTTTCATTACTAGTACCATTAATATAGTCGTACAGTATCTCTAAAAGTTGTAATTCATCTAGCGAAGTTAAAGGTGACTGCCGTTTATTTCCTCTTCGATCTATCTCGCAGAAAATTAATTCGGCCATTAGATCTAACGCTAAATCCATATGTTTCAAGCTTGGAATGCGGTTGCAAATTAATTGTCCTGCAATGGATCGCTACTAATACATCAGAAATCTCAAAAACTTTTCAAGTTTACCGATTTTTATTATTGCTTCTTTGGCACATAACGGATAATCTAACTTTCTCAATGAGTTTTTTATTTCTGGACCGGATAATTGTGTCATTATGCATTGATTTTCCTCAAATATTTATTATTTACTTTAAAATAGTTGAGGTTATGGTACATTTGCTACTTGCTACCACAGAGTTTGTGCTTGCTGCTGTTCATATTCTATGGTGCAGTGCTGCCAATTGAATTAAGGTTTTTTTGACACAATAGTTTTGATACCAAATTGATAGTGCCGTATGTCGAGATCTAGATTAATCAGACATTACTTAATTTCTGAGTATGATCTTTATACCCATGTATGTGTATCTTCGTATAACGTGAGGGGTCCTACCTTAGACGATCCGTTCGTTAGTGTCATTCTTGTTTTTAAATTTAAGCGGGAATCGTATTTTGACGCGGAGATTCCAATGTTGCCACTTGATCTTAAAATCTGATATGCTAACGTCGAAACGAAGAGATATGAGGTGACCTCTTAACACAACACACGGAAAACAGGAAATTTTTGTCCCACAAGGTGTTGCTCACAGTCATATTTATTAGTCGTCTCATAAACACAACTAAAGTCCGTTTCAGATGTCCGTGCAGTAAAGGAATGTGCATATAGCGAAAAATTTTAAAGAGCCGCAAAACGCAATTTCCTTTTGAAAACCAGTATTTAAAAGCGGACAAATAGGAAAAGTACGCTCCATAGCAATAAGGGTTTGAAAGGATCGCCTGGTTTTATTTACACGTTTAAAATGTTCATGGGCGTGCAAATGGGTAAAACAATTGCTCATGCACATTAAGTCACAGAATACGGCCTTCTCAGAATAGAAACAGCAATGTTACAAATTTGTATCATAGTTACGTATAAAATCGACGGTAAAAATATTTCCTGTAACGAGAAAAATTACAGGTTTTGCAAAAAAATATTTGAGTCTGCGATAAATAGTTCTCCGTACAACCACGGGAAACGCTGTAATCAGTGACAATTTAGCGCCATGTATGTTTCTGTTCTGTAAAGGTCTATTCTGTGCATTAGGTACAAATTATTGAGAATGCATTCCAAAAATATATGCAATTAAACCAAGTGTAATTACCATGTACCTAAAATCATTAAACATTAAAATGTACTTATATAGATATCATATTAATAGAAACGTTGTAGATCCTAGCTGAAACCCTAAAGTATGTTGAAATGGTGCGCTACTGGAAAATAGACGCAGGCGCATTCCTTTACTGCACGGACATCTGAAAGTGAAACGGACTATAGCAAATTTAAAGTCTTTAGAAACATATCTATTAAATCTATTAAATGGTGTCGAGGTAATTATCATTTGCTCCATAATCACAAGTACCACATTTAAAAATCTTAGAACCTATGTTTTAGAAGGTGTCGTTTAAGACACGATTTATAATTTGTCTCATAGTCACAATCAGCACATTTAAAATCTTTAGAAACTTTATGGTTTAGAAGGTGTTGTTTAAGATAGCACTTACTATTTGTCTCATAGTCACAATTAGCACATTTAAAATCCTTAGAATCCCTATGTTTTAAAATATGTCGTTTGTAAAGGTATTTATGATTTGTACCATAATCACAAGTAGCACATTTAAAATCCTTAGAAACTTTATGTGTTAAAAGATGTCGTTTGAAAAGATGTTTATCATTTGTCTCATAAGCACAAGTAGTACATTTAAAATTCTTAGAAACATTATGTTTTAAAACGTGTAGTTTGAATGAGTACTTATAATTTGTGGCATAATCACAATGAGTACATTTAAACTCTTTAGAAACTTTATGTTTCAAAAGATGTGTTTTAAAGCTGTATTTATCATTTGTCCCATAAGCACAAGTAGGACATTCAAAATCATTAGAAGTTGTATGCTTTAAGATATGTCGTTTAAAGTACTTTTTAACTTTTGTCTGATAATCACAATTAGTGCATCTAAAATCGTTAGAAACGCTATGTTTTGAAAGGTGTCGTTTAAAGTCGCATTTATAATTTGTTTCATAGTCACAATCATCACATTTAAAATCCTTAGAAACTTTATGTTTTAGAAGATGACGTTTGAAAAGGTGTTCATTGTTTGTCCCATACTCACAAGTAGCACATTTCAAATCAGTAGAAACTGTATGTTTCAAAAGGTGTTTTGTAAGATCAGATTTATAATTTGTCCCATAATCACAATCGGCATTTATCATTTGTCATAATCACAATCAGCACAAAAATCTTTAGAAACGTTATGGATTAAAAGATGTCGTTTGAAGACATGTTTATCATTTGTCCCATAATCACAATCTCTACATTTAAAAACCTTAGAGGCTGTATGTGTTAAAAGATGTCGTTTGAAAAGGTGTTTACGATTTGTTCCATAATTGCAAGTAGCACATTTAAAATCAATGGAAACTTTATGTTTTATAAGGTGTCGTTTGAAGTACTTTTTAACATTTGTCACATAATTACAATTAGCACATTTAAAAATCTTAGAAACTTTATGTGTTAAAAGATGTTGTCTGAAGAGATGCTTACGATTTGTCCCATAATCACAATCTGCACATCTGAAACCTCGCGATACTGTTTTACACTTAGTTAATAAGTGACGTTGAAAGTCAGAGTGTTGCTTTACTTCTTCATTATAAAGAGATTTAGAACACTGTGCACGAATGGTAATTTCTTCTTTTATTGTCACCAAAACTTCGTTGCTTACTGAAATGTGTCCTTGAAGACAGGAATGGATTTCTTCTTCTTCTTTTGGCTCGATTTTAATGAGTGGTGTGTCATTATCTCTATCCATTGCAAAATAATAATGTTTATATTATGTCGTATTAAACAATATTCCAGGGCAACTAGACATTACTTACTTTCTTAGTAACAGAATTTTTTGAATTTAGAGTACCACCAAGCCACCAGTATCAATTATTTGTTTAAAAAAAATTTGACTCAAAGAGGTTTGCAATGTCGCTTTGGTCATACGCATACTGGATTCCCGTCTCCCGACGTTAGCCACAAATCACATGATTTGTGGCAAGCGTGTTCTTCGGTGGAACAAAGTACTAGGGGAAGAAACAGGGCCGGCTCTAGACAAAAGTTACATGTACGCAAGCACTAAAATTTTCGCCCCTGCCCGCCAGCCGCCAATCTATAGCCTGAATAAGGGATTGTATCATACATTATAATCATATCATAGTCTACGATAATAATCATGGACAATAAGCGCAATGGAGGTCTAGTCACACACAACAAAAAGAAAAACAGTTTTGTCCTTATAGTGAGTTCTATCTGGGACACGCTGTAAGTACAGCATGGCTGAACAATAAAGTTCAGGATCTTTCGTTTATTATTTAACACTCGTATATTTAACAGAGTACGTAGGTACAGTTTAAAAACAAATTCGATTTCCCAGAGCCCGTAATCCATCATTGTATTAAAATTTGTTTTAAATTATAACAAATAATTACCTACTTGTGTGGTGTAAATTCAACCTGTATTGTTTATAATACCAAAAAACATTTATTTATCAAATTATTGTTGTCAGTATGGATTTAGATAATGACACACCGCTCATTAAAATCGAACCTAAACAAGAAGAAGAAATCCATTCCTTTCTTCAGGGACACATTTCAGTAAGCAACGAGGTTTTGGTGAAAATAAAGGACGAAATTACCATTCGTGCAAAGTGTTTTACATCACTTCATAATGAAGAACTAGAGCAACACTCTGACTCTCAACGTCACCTTTCAACTCCGTCTAAAGATTTTAAGTGTGCTAATTGTCATTATGAGACAAATTATAAAAGCAATTTGAAACAACATCTTTTAACACATAAAGTTTCTAAGGATTTCAAATGTGCCGATTGTGATTATGAGACAAATTATAAATCCGCGCTTAGTAAGCATCTTTTAAAACATAAAGCTTTTAAGGATTTTAAATGTGCCGATTGTGATTATGGAACAAATGATAAACACAACTTCAAAAACCATCTTCTAACACATAAAGTTTCTAAGGATTTGAAATGTGCTGATTGTGATTATGAGACAAATTATAAAAGCAACTTTAAACAACATCTTTTAACACATAAAGTTCTTAAGGATTTTAAATGTGCTGCTTGTGATTATGGGACTAATAATAAACGCCACTTCAATCGACATCTTTTAAAACATAAAGTTTCGAAGGATTTTAAATGTGCTACTTGCAATTATGGGACAAATCATAAACATGTCTTCAACAGACATCTTTTAACACATAAAGTTTGTAAGGAATTTAAATGTTCTACTTGTGATTATGGGACAAATGATAAAAAGTTTTTCCAACGACACCTTTTAAAACATAATGTTTTTATGAAACGCTCTGATTTCGACTCTGACTTTCAACCTCATCTTTTAACTCGGTGTAAAACAGCGTCTAAAGATTTTAAATGTGGTGATTGTGATTATGAGACAAATTATAAAAGCAACCTTAAAGAGCATCTTTTAACACATAAAGCTTCTAAGGATTTGAGATGTGCCGATTGTGATTATATGACAAATCATAAATCCGCCCTTAAAAAACACCTTTTAAAACATAAAGTTACTAAGAAATTTAAATGTCCTACTTGTGATTTTGGTACAAATAATAAACGCTATTTCAACCGACATCTTTTAAAACATAAAGTTTCTAAAGATTTTAAGTGTGCTTCATGTGATTATGGGACAAATGATAAACCCAACTTCCAACAACATCTTTTAAAACATAAAGTTTTAAAGGATTTTAAATGTGCTGATTGTGATTATGGGACAAATGTTAAACAGAACTTCAAACAACATCTGTTAATACATAATGTTTCTAAAGAATTTAAATGTGCTATTTGCGATTATGAGACAAATTATAAACACCTCTTCAAACAACATCTTTTAACCCATACAGGTTCTAAGGAATTTAAATGTGCTGCTTGTAATTATGGGACAAATATTAAACGCCACTTCAAACAGCATCTTTTAATACATAAAGGTTCTAAAGATTTTAAATGTGATGATTGTGATTATGAGACAAATTATAAATCCGCTCTTACAACACACCTTTTAAAACATAAAGATTCTATGGATTTTAAATGTACTGATTGTGATTATGGGACCAATGATAAAAGAAACTTCAAACGACATCTTTTACAACATAAAGTTTCTAAGGATTTTAAATGTGCTGATTGTGATTATGGAACAAATTATAAAGACACATTCAAAAAACATCTTTTGACACATAAAGTTTCTAAGAATTTTAAATGTGCTACCTGTGACTATGGGACAAATCGTAAATACCTCTTCAAACAACATCTGTTGACTCATAAAACTTCTAAGGATTTTAAATGTGGTGCTTGTGATTATGGGACAAATAATAAACGCCACTTCAAACGACATCTTTTAAAACATATAATTTCTAAAGAATTTCAATGTGCTAATTGTGATTATGGAACAAATGTTAAAGGAAACTTCAAACAGCATCTTTTAAAACATAAAGTTTCCAAAAATTTTAAATGTGCCGATTGTGATTATGAAACAAATTACAAATCCGCTCTTAACAAACACATTTTAAAACATCACTAACGTTTCTAGATATTTTAAATGTGGTGAATGTGATTTTGGCACAAATGATAGATTACATACTGAGCTGGGAGGTGGTTCATTACTTACGCCGAGGGCTTAAGGTACGTTTTGTGCCTTTTATGGGTTTGGTATACGTACAGTTCAATATTAATTATAGTAGGTTGCCTGTGTAAGCATTTGTTTCAAACGTACCTGATTTGCGCAGGTACATAAAATAATGTTTTATGGAATTTAGTTTTCTCCGTATTTAATCAAATGCATATTACATGAACATTAAGAAGGCGATGAAAGTCTCTACAAGAAAGCATCAGTGCAAAATTTGCGTAAATTGCACCATTAGTCTATAAACACCCAAAATATGCAATTCTCCAATAAGCTAAACGCTAAATATGGAAAAAATGGCCAATATAAATCCAACATAAAATTACTACCAGAGGTTACTTACTTTTTTTTAAATAATATTTTAATAGCTTTAGCATATGGCACCTGCAAATTGGCCATGGGCTCAAGCATTTAACGACACACCAGTCATTAAAATTGAATGAAAACAAGAACAAGAAATCCATTTCTATCTTCAGGGACATCTTTCAGTACGCAACGAAATTTTTGGTGACAATAAAGGACAAAATTACCATTAGTACGCAATTGTAAGCTGTGCTAGTAGTATCCATGGAGAGAATAAGATCGCAGAATATTACTAACTCTTTGATAAGATAGTGTGAATCTGGACACGCGTACGCGTTGGAGATATACGTTAGTGTGTGGTCGCCTTTAGTAGCTTCCTGTATGCGTTAAACCTAAACAGCAAAATAAAATTCAACTTTCATTTGTTTCTTTTAGTTTTTATTGAGCTTTGAATCTAAAGTTTTTCCCATCTTTTAACTACCCCACATACATCTCTATTCTGATAAAAATATATCTATGTCGCCACTCGCAAATTGATAAATTTAAACTTATATTAAACTGGTTACTATTCAGCAGCGAGTTATATTTGCCAACCATGACCTTGCGAACGTTTATACGTTTCAATTACTTAGATTAAATTCAACTTCATTCTTGTTGGCATGCCCAAAAAATCGATGCTAAAGTTCACCACCGAAATCTAAAATACTATCTAAATAACGTGAACGGTACAGTGATTAATTTGTAAAGTGCATTAGATATCAAATCTCAATTAATACTTAACCGTTTATACATATAGCATTACGTAATTTTAATACAAAGAATTTCTACTATCGAACGCATTTTTTGTTTGTTTTTACGATCATCTTGTCTATTCGCTCATTTCTGGACGATTTTGGATCAGTTGTAGGCTCGTGGTGGGAACGCGTTGCATGACTCGAACCGAGCCTTACTTTTATAAAGTGCAGCTTTTAATTTAACTTTTACTTCGTACGTGACCTACTCCAACGACAAATAAAATATGTCCAATAATATTCGATTGGTATTTCCTTTCGTTAACGGTAGGAATGGAGTCCGGGTGCGCCGATTTAGCAGCGCGTCGCAGGCTACGCTGGAGAAGTCAGGTGATTGTCAAAATAAATCAGTTGCAGCTGTGCGAGGCACATTTCGACGTATGCCAGTGCGTACAATGGCCGCGAGTGCTCACGAGAATCGGTGTCTCAATTACGACAATCTCAATCCAAATGTGAAGATTATGGAGTACGCGGTCCGCGGACCGATCGTCATTAGGGCAACGCAAATCGCCAAGGAATTGCAGCAAGTAATTTCCATTTTATATCTTTTCTCTTGTCTTTTCTGTTTTAATCAATACATCAGCCAAGTGCGAAATAAGAAATAATCGGTCTCAATCATTTTAACTTGATAAAATGAGCTATTTTTAATTTTATTCAAACGCATTTTGAACCCACATGCAAGCGGCACCCGTGAGAATTTAAAATTGTGTCTCTATAAATCTCGCACCCAAATGAAAGTAGGAAAGAGAATGCATTTTGTTTTACACGTGCAAATTTAATAAATGCTTTGGTCAGTGGCGTACATCCTCATAATTGATAGTTGTTCGACAGGGTCGCTAGATTATTTAATTTCAACTTCATTCTTCGGGCACAACAGCAAAATTTACTACAAAAATTAGTCAAGCCCCCAAAATAAAATCGTATGCACGTTACTGGCTTCAGTGGCATTTGTTCAAACCGGATCCCTGTCTACTTAAAAATACAAAAACAAGCTACCTAATTAGCCAAAATTGAAATAAATTAATATATTACTTTGATATGATATTCATCTAACCGTTTATAGGGAGACGTTAATTACAGCAATGGCCCTCATAAAATGCTGCACTATTTGTTGTTTATTACCATACAAGTTCCAGTTAATATTTGCTTGAATTCCGCTCGGGAAGACTGTTCTAAAAAATTGTATCTGCAGATGCTAATGGGTTTTGCGCATGCCCATGCTTGTTTTAATGAAATCGTGTACCCCATTTTAAAATGATACTACATCCACTTGTTTAATAATCAAATGTGTAACACACATTCTATTTATCTAAGATGACTACTAATGTTACTTTCAGATTACTTGGTTGATAATGGGACCACATAAGTGTCTAGGGTGTTGCTAAGCAACAATTACGTAATCACTGGCAATTGCATTATTATCTCAAGCGGTACTAGTACAGATAGTACATATAATTTGTAGTAATGCACTTGTTGCATTACGATTTTAAAACTTGAAACAAGTGCCAACAATAAAATGGTTCTTTTCCACGAATCTTAAACTGTTTACGCGTTTTAAACATTCAAAGTTCATTGAAATGCTTATTATTCATTAACGGTTGACAATCAATCTATATAAGTAAATTGTTTCTTCTTCTATTTCGAACCTTGCGTTTGGAAACAAATGTGCGCGATCGTGATTTTCTTACGAAAACACCAAAAAAATTTTGCATATGATGAAACTTATTACGTATATAAAATGGCGACTGTTTAAAAAAGAAATTAATATATACGGGGGGTCCCAAGCGAGGAAAATTCTAATGCGATTACCTTACGGAAATTTGACCCTTTCCAAACCAAAATCTTGAAAATCAAAAACTTGGCACCCACTAATTTAAAAGATGAAATTGAATTAAATAAACCCCCTTAAAAAGCTCCAGGTTATACAGGGTGATCGGAATGACCGAGGGAATGACTCGTTTGCTATGTACATTATAATATCACTTACAAAAAATGTTGTACGAGGGCTGCTTGCATTTCATGAAAATTTCACAGATTTCATCGAGATTTCACGAATTTCAAGAGGTTCATCGAAATTTTACCGATTTTATCAACATTTAATAGATATCTCCAACATGTGTAGTGTGGTTTACCCAAAACACAAATTTCACGACGATTTCATAATTCAGTATGATTTCGTGAATTTCATCAAGGATTTCCTTGAGATGTCACGGATTTCATCGAGATTTAAGGGATTTTATCAACATTTCATGGATTCCTACAAATTTCACCCTCCACAATTGTTGGTGCTATTAAAAAAAGTAAAATTAGTAGGTGCTATTTTTGGATCAAACCTCGACTCAAACTTAAAATGGTAAAATTGAAATTTCAAATATTCACTCACTGAAGAGATACGAACAAGTATACGGGGTCAGTTAACAAAGTTATCGGACCTAACCTTATTTTTTAAAGCAAGCACTCCGTATATTTTAATCTATTAAATTCTAAAATGTAACACACTTGCGGCCAGTTGTACAAAAAAATAATCCAGGATTATTGTTTAATCCGGTATTAAGACATTTGATTGGCTTTATACTGCAGTATGCAGTCAATGTCAAAATTCTTGCTTAATCTCAGATTTGGCAAATAATCTAAGATTTTGATTATAATTCGCTTTCCTGCAATCGGCTGTCGGGTTGATATTCAAAAAAGATTCCAGTGATCCAAAACGATTTAAACAAATTTTAAAAAAAGGTTCAATCTATTCAAACTATACAAAAAAATTGAAAAACATTTTTAAGGTCTGTTTTGAACATTTTTGAACCAATACTAAATTTTTTTAAAATTGTTTAGTGCTATATTTTTAAAAAGAATTTAATATCTTTTTAAATTAAAATATACATGGTGTTCAATTAAAAACTGAGGTTAGGTCCGATAACTTTTTGCCTGACCCCGCTTATATTTACTACTTAACGAGAGATTATTTAACAATCATTATAAAAAAACTTTCGTAATAAATCTTGTTCTGTATCGATTTTAACTAGGAAAATATAGGTTCATTCTGAAATTGACAATTTTTTGATTTCCCCCCGTACCGAGCGAATATTTTCAAATTTTGATTTTACCTCGGATTTTACCATCTTACGATTGACACACTCCGTATAAAAGTCCGGAGTGTGTGGGATATATTATTTTAGTTGTGTTTTTTTGAACGGAATGTGAATAAAGGCCATTATTATTATTATTCGTATAATAAACTAAACTTTAAAAACTTTAAAAATAAACTTTCACATTTTTAAAGAAAACCAGTTTATCTATCATTTTCGTAAAAACAAAAACTCAGTTATTTCAAAAACAAAGATGGCGTGGGGCGTTCAATTGTTTTAGCAATAACCTGCTTTAACTTCTTAACCGTTCGACCGATTGTAACGATTTGGTATCGTTGAAAAGAGCATTCCTTGGGCAACAAGAATCAACCTAAATATAGTTAATTTAGTTGAATCCTTCTCCGCCAGGGGGCTAGTTTTGACAGTATGATCCAAAATCCTAAAAGAATCAAAAAATCAAATGGAATGATATGACTTTTTCTTTATGAAAAAGTAGCCAAATAACATCCAAAGAGGCCAGTGAAAACCGTTTTTCAAAATCTCGTTCTTAACCTCAAATATTGGGAAAATGAGATTAATTAATTAATAAAAATGCTTAAATTGTATCTTATTTGACGTATTTCCGGTATTTGTCGATGGCGCGAAAGATTGTTTGGAAAAGGATTCTACACTTTTAGGTAGGCCTTGGAAAATTAAACGAATGCACCATCTTTGTTTTTGAAATAACTGAGTTTTTGTTTTTTTTTTTGGTTCTCTTTAAAAACGTGAAAATTTTTTTTAGTTTATTATACGAAATTTAAAGAAAATGCAATTTTAAAATTGAAGATGGCAGTTACGCCCTCTGTTAGTAATTTTTAGAACTTAAAAATATTTACCCATTAATTATTTTTTACCCCTAAGTCATATGACGAACGGTTCTCGAGATATGGCCGAGGAACAGTCTTATTGGGTCACCTGGTATATGAGATTAGGTTCGAACCCTTGTTTGTAGTAGTGCAGGCATAACGTTTTAATAAAATAATAATAATTTTTTTTCACATAAAAAATCTATTGCTGAATGTTTATTGCTAACTTCACACGACTTCAAAAATGAGGGAGCTCAAAGCGAAATATTTCCACAGCGGTTGATTCTAAATTTTTTAATCTTCCCTCTCTCGTAAAAAAACAAAGTCGCAGTTTTCTCTACATTTGATTTGATTAAAACCGTGTTTCCGATTTCTAATCTGTAAGTGCGGTAAATATCAGAATGTACATAGATATTGCTCGAGATATTGGGTCCAGTAGAGCCGATTTCATCTAATTTTTAATCAATTCATTTCTATTTTGCCAACGGGTATGGGTATGGGCTTTCGGTTTTCTGTGACATATCGTAATGCTAAGAACAATTTTTTGCATTATTTTTTTAGCTTGCGCCCTCGTAATATGGTTTGGTAAATTTTTCCATATCGAACGGAAATTATATCGTGTCGTAACTTTATGAAAGTTTTACGGAGTTTTGTTTAAAAATGTTTATAATAATATGATAACATTTGGCTTTTAATCTTAAAGGTCAGTGCATTTCATAATTTCTTTAGTTTGTGTAATTCACCCCGGTCTGTTTAAAATTACAGTGATTAGAATTAGTCTCGAAATTCGTTTTGTACATTTATCCTCATTGTGTGTAAAAATTATACACACTTAGAAATTCCATGTTAAGTCGTAACAATAAAATGAACAAATTTCGGTGAGACTGGAATCTTAAGCTGAACATAAGCACGAGAAGCGTCCTTATTTCGATTTTGTACATTCTAAAGATACACATATGTTCAGCTTCCTGGGAATACGAAAGAAACCGTGGATGATAGATTTTAGACATTAACCCACGCGTGGTAATTCTCATTAAAAGTACTGGTAGCAAGTTATTTTTAAAGAAAGTTCTTTTACTATAACAATAATGTCATTGTAAGTTGCTTCTAACAAGTTTGCGAATATTTTGTTTTATGAAATAGTTATTTATTATACAAGACCATAAAGGGATGTTTTAACCATTGAGTGAATTAACTCTCACGAGATGGTTAGTTTCCCTTTATCGTCGTGTATAATACAAAACTTTATTTTATAGCAGAAGCCATATAAATCATTGTAAAGCGTCTGTCAATTCTGAATTTAATTCAGAGACGTTAAAAATAGCAAGCTTAGGTTCTGCAGTCGCAAACGATTTCATAGAAACATAATTGTCATACGCTCTAAACATCATTTTATATCGTGCATTTGACATAAGAATGACAGATGTCATTAGAATGCACAATCATTTGTTTCACTTTATCTATCCTTACGGTTAAAGAACGGCTTAGCCTACTCATTCAAACCTATAAAAATGTCATTTTATCATATGCTATACAATAAAAAATCTAATTTAGGCTGAATAAATTGGCAACAAACTCATCAAGGTGCTAAAATAATTTTTGTATTTAACGTATTGTTCGCGCCAAGCTGCTATGTGAATTTTGGCCAAATTTTTAATGTGTCTATAACTTAGTTACCTACGTGGACGTCAAATAGTTACTTCAGTTCCCTAAATTGGATATGCCATATGCGTACTTTTTGCTCGCGATTTGTGGACGAAAAAATTCGATCGCAACACGGCTAATATTATACCTTACCTTCATGAGATGAATCTAATCTCTACGCCTTTGTCATTTAAGCTAATCAATCTCACTTTGAAATAAATCCTCGATTAAATCGTAAAAAATCTATACTGCCTAATTACCTTAATGTGTCTCATTTTGGGTGAGATTTCAGTGTATCTCAGCTGTTTTTAAAGGTAGAGACTTGCGGTTTTTTTCAAATTTTTAATACCACAAACATAATCAATCTAGCTACGTTTTGATTCTGAGATACGGGGTGAAAACGGAAAGTTTGACTTTTTGGGATGTTATACTAGCGAGAAAACTCGCGCGATTTCCTGTCGGACACTACTGTAAGTGTAAATAGCATTGCGAGTCCATTTGAAGTCGAACAAATAACTGCACCCAATTAAAGCATAATAAACAGGAAATATAAAGCTTATTTTCTAATTGAAATTCATGAACATGCGTTGAGGAGCGAGGATCGCGATTAATTGGTAATGTTAATTCACGCGTTAAATTCCGTTTTTACTAGAAATGCCATCCCCCATGGGCCTATGGGACATCCTACGTAAACGACCGGCATTAGCGAAATGAAGATAGAAATGCTAAATAATATATAAAATTAAAAAAAATCTGAATGGACCTGGAATCGAACCCGAGCCGCCCGCGTTGCAATTAAAACCAGTAGACGAATGACGACTACGACGGCTAGCACCTTAATAGATATGGATTTGTACTCAATTCTCCTCGATTTTTTTCTAATTTGACGTTCTTTCGATCACAATTTCACAAAAGAATTTTGTTTTCCATCGCTAAAGTTTAAGTACGTGCGTATATCTTTAAGATAAAACAGATGCTCCTCGAATAATTTACGTACAGCCCACTTACCTTCGTTTCCGCCCGTTTATCGCGGCTCGCTCTTTTTGGAAAATTTTGAGGGTCAAAACGACGACCTTTACGTGCTCTTTTTCTTCTCTCGTTTTCACTTTAGCCAAAACGCCCGTTAGAAACTTCGAAACGGAACCAGAAATTCGTTTCTTCTCGCCTAAACTCGGGACCGCCCTTTGCGTTCTCCAACCAATTGAAATCTACCATCTCCATCAGTTGCGCCCGCTAGAAAAACCGAAACGGAACCAACGAAATGGAATGAAGTTGTGCATATAAATATTTACGCAGTCTTAACTCAACTCGATGACTCAACCCAGTGTCGCTAATGTTCAAGGTATTCGAACGGTTGACACGAAGAATTGTGTGCCACTTGGAGCGCCATTGAAACTTAAAAAGCGTCTACCCAATACGACACCAAAGTTAACATTGACAAACTAATCGAAATGGGCACTTGCCGGTGAAATTTTTTGAATTGTTTGTTACTAAACGATTACTTCAGAGACCACCTTTGTTACATATGCTTACCATCCCGACAGTACAGTCGCAAGTGCGTTAAATCAGATTCGATATGAAAAAGCCAATTTTTTCAGAAATTTTCATGAAAATTTTAGAATGCTAAAATAGAGATTATGGCGTTGTGCGCGTGTGCACCATCCTGCTGAAACCAAAAATTTCAATTTGTTTTTTTTATGTTTCGTACATTCGTAACAAAAATGCTGCTCAATATAGCATGAACTTATGTTACGGACTATATCAAATAAGGCTGATGATGATTTCTCCGAAACGAAAGGTTGTATTGAAAAGCTCAACGGTGTCTTGTAGAGTTGAAAAAGTGGCAATGAGAAAGTGTTTTTTTTTATCTATTCAAATACAGAAACAATGCAAACCAGGAAGATTATTTGCGCAACTTTTCCCTAATTTGATCGTCGTATGGTTTCGGATATCCCCATGATAGACATCCTTATCTCGGACACAGTGTATATGTAATTTGGTCACTAATAAGAGAACTACCAAAATCCTTTTCATTGTTTCATTGCATTATCATTCGAAACTATTTCATTTATCAAAAATTCTTTGATTTCCTGGTGAATTACGCGATTATTTAGTACTGCCAATGATTTCCAACAAAAGCAACATGCACTTCCGCTAGTGAGTCACCGTTCGGTATAGCGTATCTTAAAATTTGTGAACGATCGGTTTGGCTCACTTCCACGTTCCAATTAGCGACACCACAATTTTAGGAATAGGTAGTCAAAGAATGATCTTTGAGGTAGTTAACCCATTCAATCAACATGTGGTTTATTTTTAAATTAGAATGCCTTTTTTTACCATCTACTACAGTTATTTTTATTGTTAATAATAATGAGCGCTTTTGTTATCTTTAAGGAATGGTGCTAGTGTTACACTTCTCTAAAAACGGAAATAGGGCAATCATAACAAAATAATACGTCACGTGTTTGGAATTAATTGATACCACGTGTAACGCCCACACAATGGTAGTATATCTCGACCGTTGCTATTTATCCTTTGCAAGTTACTCTTAGTTTTCTTGATTGCCATCTCATCCATCTAACTCACAGTGTGTGTTTTCGCAGGGAGTGAAGAAGCCATTCACCGAAGTGATCACTGCCAACATCGGCGATTGTCACGCAATGGGCCAAGTACCTATCACTTTCATACGTCAGGTCTTAAGTAGCGTTCTTTATCCGCCGCTTCTGGACGACCCCAGCATTCCGGACGACGCGAAGCAGAGGGCGAGGGACATTCTCAAGGCAGCCAGGGGATCGGTCGGGTGCTACACCGATTCGACCGGTCTCGAATTGATTCGAAGACACGTCGCCGAATTTATCGAACGGCGCGACGGTTATCCGAGCGATTGGCAAAATATCTTACTCTGCGGAGGTTAGTATGTGCCCTCGTATTGCCGAAAGTTCAAATTGAAGAAATTTTTCTGTCGGCATTGAGATTCACTTGTTCTCGACATTGAAACGTAGCGAAATCCAAACAGACTTTTTCTACTCCTATCTCTAAAATCTCACATTTTGCACTGACATAGTGCGCGAAGCGTCATTTTAAATACGACTACGACGACTACTAATTAGATACAGATTGGTGTCCGTTCGGGTATTTTCGGCCATTATAACACGCCCGAAGTTTCATTAAACACGGCTTGGATTTTGTTGACTAAATCAAGTTGGCAGTTTGACGTTTGTCATTTTGACATTCATCGTAAGGCGAATTCCTGTTTTTAGAAAATGGGCGCAGAGAATGATAATGAAGAGAAAAATGTTATTGTTGCTCCTTCTGAAACAACGCAAGCGGCAACAGAATCCTCGTAGAAAAATTATAGTATTTAACGCGTTTTATAAACTTCCCTAGACATTCGTTATTAAACACTCGTGTCTCAAGTGTAGTTTATAACACTTCATACATAATACACTATTTTGATGCATTGATTCTCGCGGTAAAATAATCGCTAGAACATAACTTTTAATTGCGGTTTAAATACTTAATTATATAACGTTACCTTGAACTGTTGCATAATAAAATAATTGCGGATATCTGGAACATGCAATTATTGTAATGATTTCAAAGTTGATGTGTATTTCCCCTTTTATTTTTAGGTAATTTTGTGCGCCCTTGTGCTTCTCTCCGATTATTATTTTCTTTTTCTCAAAAATCTTATCAATTCTTGTTGTGAAGATATTATGTATTGTATTGGTATTTTAACCGGGAGTGCTCTACCAAACTATACCCGGATTTAAACCATGGCCCTCTTTATCATGAATGAACATCTACTGTGCTACAATACATCCAGTTTTGCTGTATGCGAAACGGCTTTGAAGTATAGATAACCATTTGTTCCAAATCGCTAGAATGGTCACAAAAAATTCATGAAATTCACTTATTAGGTATTGATGTGTTCGACCGTTTTTCCTTCGGTTTTTCCAACAAAATTGGTGTTAAATAACGATTTTGGCGTCTCTTGCTGATAACCAATATTTGTGTACAAAATGACTAAAATACAAAGTTATTGGTACAAAAGCACAATTTGTAATGGTTGTGACCTTGGAGTTTCTTGCAGACAACCAGCACTAAATTGTGTATTATAGTTGTAAGAAATTATGATATACTCTGTATTGATAAAACATTGCTATTTGATGTCTGCATAAAGGTGTATGAAGAAATTCTTTACCATCGACTGTTTTTGATTTGCATAAACGATGGCCGCTCAGAGTAGACAGAGAAAATAGTTCAACCAATACTTCTTCCTTGACTTCTTCCCCGCCAAGTGTTTAATTTTTGCTTATTTCATACTGCTTCTTGCAGTTCTTCCGAATTATCACTATGTTTGTCTTAACTCTTCTTTTACTACTCCCCCACCCCCACAATCCACATCTCTAAAATTCTTTCCTTTAATCTACCTATTCACACAACAAACATTAACTGCAGTCTACATTACCTTTCGTTACAGCACAAAATTTACGCGACACCTGAATCTAAAAATTAACGCTAAATACTCGCTGAAAGTAAAAGAAAAAGTGACGCAATGGCGCTAAACTTACAATAAACCTACATGAACTATCACCAAATCAAATTCATTTTTCATTCATACACAACAGACCATCATTGCTTTTTGAGGTTAACGTCACAGAATACGGCCTTCTCAGAATAGAAACAGCAATGTTACGAATTTGTATGGTATTTTGGCGGACCCTGGTGGGTGTACTGTGAACTAAAGCATCAAAATCAGAGTAGCGCCATCTGGCGACCAGCTTCTAAATCCATGAAGTAATTTCCCCAATTCGATCTAAATCACAAATATAGATAAAGAATACACAGTTGTTAAATTGCAAGTGTATTTAGATACAATCACATTACATTATTTAACACAGACATCTTAAATTACATGTTTACAAATTACATATAAAACTCAAAAGTAAGTGCAACTTACGCTTTGTAGAAGTTAACACTTTGCAAAAAGATCCTTACGTAACGAGTTGTCCTACGAAATATTTGGTTTTAATTGCTGTTTGGACTACATATTTTTGTTAAAAAATATCTTTAGAACTAAATTTTTTGTTCCAAGAGGTGATAAAACCGTTTCAGCAAATTGTCACACAAGTTTTTGACAATAAATGTTAACTTGATCCTGGTGTTTACTGGTTACTTGAGAAGCGAGGGTGGAAGTTGTTGAATTATCTAAAACGAATTACAATATAAGTATCTACATCTATATAAATATAAAACTCAAGTCTACACCCTTTTGCGCCTATAGGTACAGGTAGGTAATAATTCTGCGTCAATTTGTACCTCTTACTTACCTTGCATAAATAGGAAAGAAATAACAGCACATTTCGACCCTCTTCGCGTTTCAAGCACAAAACAAGCTGTTTCAAAATGTGGGAAACGATGCTTTTTGATATTTTATTGTTACAATCCGCCACACAACACTTTTTACGGTCACATAACTTGTTCATATTTTAAATCTTTCAAAAGTCAAAATTGACATGTGGAAAACTTGTGTACGTATAAAATCGACGGTAAAAATATTTCCTGTAACGAGCAAAATTACAGGTTTTGCAAAAAAACATTTGAATCTGCGATAAATAGTTCTGCGTACAACCACGCGAAACGCTGTAATCAGTGACAATTTAGCGCCATTTATGTTTCTGTTCTGTGAAGGTCTTATTCTGTGGTTAACGTATTGTAAAAATGGTGTCTCTATTTACGCCAACGGTACTCGTAGAATTTTGAAATCGGACATCTCAAGTTGCTTTTTATCATCATTTGAAGCAGAGCCTTGTTCTCCGTGACTTGACTTTTGAATAAGAATTAATTATCTGAGTTTTACTATTGATAATGAGAAACAATTTCGCCAATTCTCATTTGTTTTTTTAGGAGCGAGCGACGGAATTAAAAACTTTCTAAAACTATTCATCTGCACTGTTAACGGAAAACCACCCGGCGTAATGATTCCAATTCCCCAGTACCCGTTATACTCTGCATCGCTAGCGGAAATGGGCATAACTCAAATCGGCTACTACTTGAACGAGGCGAAAAACTGGGCGTTAGACGGGGCCGAATTAGAAGTACTCGCCCACTAACATACGGGAACATTGCTAACTTGTTATCTATTGTAGAGGGCGCTAGAGGAAAACAAGAAATGTTGCATTCCGAAATGTATAGTCGTAATTAATCCAGGTAACCCCACCGGCCAGGTTTTGACCAAGGAGAACATACAGGAAATTATTAAATTCGCGCACAAACACTCGCTATTTATTCTTGCCGACGAGGTATATCAGCACAACGTCTACGCGGAGGGTTCCGAATTCTTTTCCTTCAAGAAGGTTTGTTTAGAATATTCTGCCGTGCTTCCTGCTTAAAGAACAATTTTAGGTATTAATGGAAATGGGCGAACCGTACTCTTCGATGGAATTGGTCAGTTTTATGTCCTGCTCAAAGGGTTACATGGGCGAGTGTGGTTTGCGCGGTGGTTACGCCGAAGTGATCAACATGTGCCCGCAAGTTAAAGTGAACTACTTGAAATCGGTTAGCGCAATGTTGTGCTCGACGGTTATCGGCCAGGCTTGTATGGATACGGTCGTAAATCCACCGAGAAAAGGAGAGCCCAGTTACGAAATGTACATGAAGGAAAGACAAGCAGTATTAGACTCATTGAATGTAAGTACAGTAATTCCCCGCGTTATATTAAACAAAACCATTGAATAAGCACTTTAAAGAAGTATAACGCCCGTGTAAATAAGAAAATCTGCCCAGGATTCTGTCGTCCCTCTGTTGTGGGGGAAAGTGAACCACAAATTTAAAGCTAGTTACCGACTTTGCAGATTTCTTTACTTATTTAAAATTCCAACCTTGCCAGATTTTTGGCAAGCGCTTTGAGTTTGAATAAACTAGAGTGAAATATTGAATAAGCTTTTATTCAATGCCAATAACAATATTGTGTAAGGGCGGATCAATCTGAAATGTAAGATCATAATGAACAATAAATAAAGTAAAACTGTTCTAAGGACCATTATCTTTACATAATAAATAATGAAACTTTACCTAGCTCCATATAAGGATCTGGTAAATATGACAACACTGTTCAACTCTGATAAACAAGGAAAACAAAGGGCCCCTAAGTATAACTGGTTTCCCTGTTTAAAATAGTCATTATTTACCGCCCGAGGCCAAATATCCTTCAATATTTGTGGTAATTAAACACTTTTAACACACCTTACACCAATTTCAGGTTTCCTATGTAGTTATACTTCTTTAAGGTGCTTATTCAATGACAAAACTAACTTCTCATAAGTAATTTCATTATAATTAGTGTATTGATTTTCCGCCTGAAGTAAATCTGGAATCTACGCGTGCGCACAGATTACTTGAATGAAGTTAGATACTTAATAAACATATAGCCAACATTTAGACAACCACGTCAGGTGTACAAAGTCTAACCGAATATTCTTTCAGATTCGCGCGAAGATGGTCGTCGATGCCTTCAACTCATTCGAGGGTTTCAGCTGTAATCCCGTGCAGGGTGCAATGTACGCGTTTCCAAGAATCACGCTACCACCGAAGGCGATCGAAGCCGCGAAGAAAGCCAATCAACATCCCGACGTATTTTACGCCTTCCAGCTGCTCGAAAGGACGGGAATATGCATAGTGCCGGGATCGGGCTTCGGCCAGCAACCGGGAACATTCCATTTCCGTACGACCATTTTGCCACAACCCGAAAAATTAAAAGCGATGTTGGAGAAATTCAGAAACTTTCATTTAGAATTTGTCGAAGAATATAAATAAAATAACGGATTTTTTTTTACTTTTTTAAATAATTATTTGTAAATTTGCCATTAAGTATAAGGTTGTGCTTAATAGTCGTTTATGTATGACAATAAATATCTATTGTATCGTTGTCGACATGTCTAAAGTGCTGCTGTAGTTAATTTATTGCAACCGTGCATTTAATGTATCCATTTCTTGTTAATATCATGTTAAAAAATAAAATTGTTAATTATTTTCGTTTTATTAATCAGGATCGGTACAAAGCTGATATAAGTGTTCCTTCGCAAGCCTAAAACCCCATTTTTGGTTGCCGGAGCGTTAAAGATGGCATTAATCTCGAAATACAACTTTAGTTTACCATATCCAGGACCCTCGGATACCTTCTGGACTGGAGAAGGTCCCCTAATTAATCATGTATATCATGTAATGTAAGAGATTTCGGAATGGGAAAGAGATCGAGTCTCTCTATTCGAGCTAATCTTTCTTTAGCTTATCAAATGTTGTATTAAGTTAACATCATATTTAAATTACCTATTCCAATTCACGAGTTACTTCCTCGAATTGTTTATTTTTATATATTGCAGATGTGATGTAAAATGTGCGTTTAGCGTTTTCCGCAGTTACCTGTCTCGCTCCAGAATTCCACCATATATGTACCTTCTATGAGCGACGACCGCACACCCCCTATGCGAATCTCGCACTATCTTTTTCTCTCTACAGCTCTCTCACAGCAACTATAGTAAATAAGGAATTCTGTTGTCAGCAAAGATAATGAATTAATCTCCAGAACTGTATTAAAAGTTGTAGTTTTCTCAGAGGTTCCCCGGCGTATACTGTTGACTTATTACCACATACTTACAGTTTGAAACTCTGAGGAGGCAATTAGAACCAACGCCGTCTAACTTTCGTTGTCAAAATGTCGGACGTTTCGGTAGTAGGTACTCGGCTGAGACTGCGTAATACAAATGAGACTCTTTTTTACCATGGCGTCCTTTTGTGTTGGAAAGTGAGACACAATCGGGAAGAGAATTAAATAAGAGACACAATTTTGTGCGTCTGTAGGGAATAAGAAAAATGAAATTTATTACGCACGAGGCTTGGTTCCGCGAAGCAAATCCAAACCGAAACGTCAAGGAAAAAAAGAACCAACAAGAAAAAAACCTAATTAATTTTCAAGCGCTTTGATACTAGTTAGTTGGGAGATACGGTTTTCCAGCCTTCCCTTTCCTCATTTGGGGAATTTTATAAAAGGTACGAGCGTAATTTGGATGGGATCTTTTTGTATTTTCAGCACTGACCGTTAAATTGTTGCAATTTTATCGTAAGTAATTGGGCCGTTTAATTTCAAGGTAGGTGTTGTGATGTTGAACCCCTACAGACATGCAACACATCTTACTACTAAAGGAATTTTAAAATCCCGTTCTGCGCAGACGTCAATTTAGTACAGGAAGCTAGAGAGTGGCGTCGGCGGGAGCAATGGCGGTCCAGTTTTTGATGTTTGCGTACCGGTTTTGTGTGCTTTTCATATTTAGTGTTTGATATATTTTTTCCAAGCGATATAAAGGTTTCATCAATGTTTAAATTTCATGACTTATTTGGTTTCGTTTTTAACTTCGCTTTAGATTTGACTTCTGCTGAATGCACGTATGATGGGGGCCGCTATTGTTTGAGTTTACCGTTAAATGAGTATCTTTTAGCTTGGCCCCCTTGTGCACCTGATTATGCCGCGATGTTTTTCATGATTATTTGAATGTGTTTACGCGGGAGTAGATTACCAGAATGTTACTGCTCTGAATGTTTGGATTAATAATTTATTTCCGTGGAAGAGAAGAACCTCATGCAGTTCGCCCTGTCGCGGTATATGTTTCTTTTTTTCATCTCGCGCAGACTGCAGTTCTTAGCGTCTCGCATTGCGAGAAAGGGGGCCCTCTGATTAATTTCTCTTCTGTTTAAAATGTGGGTTTGTATGTGAGGTGGTCTGCTTCCGCTTGAATACCTGTGTTGGCATTCTCAGGTGCACGTGTACTTTTCTCGTGTTAAATAAATGATAAGCAAGGTCGGAACAAGGTCACGCCTGCCTTGCGTTGTTTAAATTGAACCCTTGATGTGTTTTTCATGTAGTGTTTCATACCCCAATGATTTATTTTGTTCACAATTTGTAATTATGTCATTTGTATCTATCGTTTTTGATTAATTTGTGTTAGCCACATTTGCCTCGATTACTTGATTTTTGTTGTACGATTTGAGATGTTTGATTTTGTATTTCTGTTTGTACCTACATTGTTACCTGTAACTGATTTATTTCTTGTGTTTGTGTTATGCCAGGTTTTTTTTATTGCTGGTTCTTTTTTCCTGGCTTTTCGGTTTGGATTTGCTCTGCGGAACCAAGCCCCGTGCGTAATAAATTTCATTTTCTCATTCTCTTCGGACGCACAAAAATTCTGTCTTTTATTTAATTCCCTTCCCGATTGTGTCTCACGTTTAAACGCATAAAAGACCGCCATAGGAAAATGACAACGTAGGAGTCCATTCGTACAACTTCGTCCAAGCCGAATGTTACCGAGATCTGAAAGTGGCGCGAACGTTCGACATTTTGACAACTAAAGTTAGATGGCACTGTCTGCAATTTGTTCCGCAGAGTTGCCAACTGTAAGTACAGAGTAAGTCAATATTTTCAGTACCGCCTGAGGAACCCCTAGGAACATTTCAGTGTTTACCAATTTTCATTTTCGTTGAAGGCGGGCATTTATTTCCCTTAATGTTGTTTTCCCCGTAGAAACGGATAGTTAATTTTGCTTTCGTTTCCGCTTGCAAAATTGCTATACCGTTTTCGTGTTCCGTAATTCTGTTTTAGTGTTTAGACAGCGATCGATATTTGGTACCTGGGTGACCGTTCTCTAATTGACTTACCTGTGGCAACCTCACTATTCCGAAACCACCGACCTTGACCAAGGGCAAGGAAACAACTCCTGGTGGCGCGCGAGATTAAAATAATAATAAATAATTCTTCTGATTAATTTTCAAGTAGCGGACTACCGAAAGTTCGTTGCATACCTAAGTTGTGATTATTTGTATCAGCAACAAAAATCTCTAAATAAAATCCACCAACTGTAATTGGTTTCGTCGAATTCCCATTTATTAATGAGACTCTTGGTCGTCATTATATGCTTCTCTCAATTGAAACCTGTTGATTTGATGGATTTTTACTTTTGTAAAATTATATTAGTTACTAAATGAAAAACTTTGCACTGTAAAAGGTTTAAATGTTTATTTAATTTTTTGCAATATATATACAAAGTTCTGTGACAAATCGTCTACATACGTTTGGAAATCATACGCATACAACAATGAAAGTTTATTTTAGTTGAATCTCTATAAATAAAAGTACGGCCTTTGGCAAATATACAATTAATATGGCCGCCGATTTAATCCGGCGCTCCACCAGGACCTGAAAGAGACAGACCTATTGCAACTAATTTAACATGTCCGACAACGATATCTCATGCATAATATACTTACATTTGGCGTTGCTGCAACGAGCGTTCGGCATTGACAAACGATCTGCCGCGAGTCCCTCGAGTCACTCTCGACGTCGCCAAGAGCTCCCTACTGATCTTGTTATAGCCGGTGGGACCGGTCGGTTGGGCGCCGCACGTTTCCAGCGCAACGAAATCGTCCACGTGTAGCGAGGGGGGACGCGAGGTGTTCGGCGGTCTCGATCTAAACAGATCCGCTCGTACCTGTACTTGTCGGTATGGGAAACCTCGGCGCGCAATCGGCACGACTAAACAGAAAGTGTTCGCTTATGTTGTTTGAATGTTTCGATGGCCTACCGAAACTTTTCTTGTTCTTCTCCTTTTGCTCTTCGGCTCCTTTTGTTTTTGCGTCGTCCTGTTCGTTATTGTTCGACGAGTAAATTCGACACACCTTCTCGACTTCCCTAATTATGTTGATATCCGCCGGTAAGTGTTGACGACAAACCTCACCCAGATCGCACGTTACCTTTAGACCGAGCACTGGATTGTTGCGCATTAAAAGTGCTACTTACATTGTCGACTTCGGTGGTGGGCTCGTAGGCAGGCACAGAGAGCCAGTAGTTCGTAGTGAGCTGTTCGTCGATTACATCGGTCAGTGTAAAAATTGACCGCGCGGAGAATTGGAGCAGTAGCGATTGTGGTGGGGGTAAAATTGGCTCGACAGGTGTCTCTTTGGTTTTTGTAATCTCCTTCAGAAGCGCGATAATACCTTTCACGCCTTCGTGAATGTAGTTATCAAAAGATTCTTCAGTCACACTTTTCTAAAAAAATCATAATGATGCGTGTCCTGTTCATTACATGCAATAATTTTTTGACGGCACTTACCCAAGGTTAGTAAAAAGAGTAGGTTGCCTTGTAACTTTCAACCAATAAACGTTCAAATACGCGAACGACGTCACCCAGAATCCCATTTTGTCCAGATCATAAAAATTAATTATTAACGCAACAACAATAGAGTAAGTTCAAAAAATGCAAAATGAATCGAAATAGTACCATTGTATATACATCTTACAGTAATGCCACGGTATAGGAAAAAGTGCGACGCCATAAAACAGCTACATAGATGGCGATAAAACGCACTGCAAAGATTAATTTAGCATAAAAACAAACCATATGCACCATCAATATTCACCCCACAAGTTACTAATCTGTATTCAGAGTTGGGCAGAATACTTTCAAAAAGTATTTGAATACTAAATACTTTTACGTCCAGCACAAGCGAATACTAGATACAGACACTTTGAAAAGTATTCGAATACAGTAAAAAGTATTCAAATACTTGTCACTCAAATGCATTAAAAATTTAAAATAGTATACTAGATAAAAGGCTTAATACTGCTTAAAAAATCAAGTTATACTTTGTATGGGGTTAGCTTTTTTTATATTTCTATTGTTATATACAAATTTAAGGGGAGTAAAAGCGTATTATTATTATTATATTATTATATAGGAAGTACCTACCAGGACCTTTCTTATACCAGTTATATCCTTAAGAATACGTGTACCAGTTTTCAAAGCGTCGTGCACATGATACGTACGCCTTTCTGAAATTAATCCTTTTTGATTTTGAAACAGATCCTTTTTTGTTCGTCCATCTGTCCGTGTGCATGATAACTTGTTTAGAAACGTGCGATCGCTTTGAAAATTGGTACACATGGTCTTAAGGATATAAGAAAGGTCCCTATTGTTTTTAAGTTATGTAGACTATCGAGTTCGGTATTCAGATGTATCGGATTTTTATATTTGTAAAAGATTCACTAACTTTATAAAGGATTAGGGGTATTACACCCCTTAATTAAACACTATACGACAATTTACAATGGGCGTTTATTGAACAGTAACAATGGCTCGATACATTGCTCTATTTCTCGACCGTCTTTCTTGGATGTCGCGTACGAAGTCCCCATATGTGGGCCGCGCTCCTTCGCGCACCCCTTGGTATAATAAAGCTGCCTTAGCGAGCCGTAATAAAACGTGATGTTTTCATGTTTCATGAAGTTCCGCTTACATATTTGATTTTGTGACAATGGAAACTTTCCCTAAACATTTCTAAATTGTTCTCAAATATTTGAACAACTTAAAAGTACTACCTTTTTTTGAGTTTGTGCAGTCGATTTTTGATAAAAAAGGAAGGTTATACACTACCTTTTTTTGAGGCCCGAAAAAAAAATTGTCTCGGATCGACCCGGAAAAAAAATTTTCTTATAGAATGTGGCCTGCAGAATCCATAATTTCAAACAGTTCTAAGATTGGGCTACTAGTTCAAAAGTTACAGCCCTTTGAATTTTCGAAATTGGTTTCTAGTCTATAACTTTTGATTGAGAAGTCTGATCGAAAAAGTACGAATTGTTTTGGATTCTACGCACCAAAATTAATAAGAAAAAGTGTTTTCCCAAGAAATTTTGGTGTAGTCGATTTTTGGTAAAAAAGGAAGGTTATACACTGCCTTTTTTTGAGCCCCGAAAAAAAAATTGTCTCAGATCAACCCGGAAAAAAAATTTTCTTATAGAATGTGGCCTGTAGAATCCATAATTTCAAACAGTTCCAAGATTGGGCTACTAGTTCAAAGGTTACAGCCCTTTGAATTTTCTTTCGAAATTTACAATAAACGTAATTTTTTACGTTAATTTATAGGAATGAAGTCCCTTATAGGAATAAATGTAAGCGACATCTATCTGCAACTCAGGGTTTCTGCTATTTCCTTCCACACATTTTCTTTTAAAAGCACGTCTTTATATTTTTTGTCACGTAGCGGAAAAAACACATAAGTATGTATTTAAATTTGCCGCTCAACTTGAGCCACCGCGCACTCTGCTAGTGATTCATCCATCTAAACGATTGATAATGCAGTGTATGTTCTCATTTTTGAAAACAACATTGGCTGCCCCTCCAAATATAGGGTTTCTGGAGCGTTTAAATATCTCCGGAATGCGTGGGTCGATCGGAGTGAAATGTAATGAGATTAAAGGGGACATTAGTCACATCGACTGGTAAAAACTATGGTCCAAATCGGTCAAGTAGTTTTTCAGTTATCGCAAAGAAGTGGGGTTGCGTTGGTCCACAGTTCACATTTTTAACTGCTTTGAACCATTCGATCACAGCTATAATCCAATTGAGGCAGTTTATTTTGGATTTATTATATTGTTTATAGTTTGGCCGGCAAAAATTAAAAAATGATTGCAACATTTTTTCCGGGAATCTTTCATTATCTTATTATTTGTACAATAAATGCTATAAAACGTCTATTGGCCTATTTTTTAAAAAAACGTTTATTTCCGCGCAAGTCGGAAGTAAATATCGTTCGTTAGACTACTTCCTCTAACTAAACGATCTAGTTCGGTCGACTTTTCCATACGTCCCTCGACGGTAGGGCGACGAACAGTGTGTACAAAGGGCAGAGACGTAATCAAAGCGAGCTATTACTCGCGCTTACTGGGAATACACAATACGCACTAAAAAATCTATTATTTACCGCTCAAAAAACGACTTATTGTTACAGGAAGAACATATCTTCGCACCTATGAATCAAACCAACAAGCGTTCGGACCTTAATAAATTGTGCCATAAGCGTAGAATGGAATAACATATCTCAAACATCATACATTTCAAGGAATAATAGATACCTAAATAACTACAAGCAAACACTAAACATTTGGCAACACTGGGATTTCTGCAATGATATTTGTAAACTTCTAAACAAGTAGTTGCCTTGAAATAGCCCCTTAGGGGTAGCGTACGCCAATAAAATTGAGAAAAAGCAATAAAATTTGTTAGGCAACACACAATACATATGCAACACTATTCTCTATGCCGTTGAATCTGTTATTATGGTTACTCTTTGCTGATAGCATTGTTTAAATACTTTTTTAAACAATGCTGATAGACAGTTTACTTGCAAGCATTTTTTGTCTCTTGATGAATATCGCTATCTGTGATGGTTTACGAAAAAAAAAATGTAAGCATGATGAATGGCATGCACCATACATGCGATTGTTCCTCAAAAACCATAAGTGCAAGCAAGAAGTAGGCTATGAAACCGTAGTGCATGTAACATAGAATAAACGAACACAACAGAGTAAGTCAATGTAATGTATTAATTTAAACTACTACGGCCGGTTGCAAGACGGTTGGAATATACATGAATTAGGAAATCCTTAGTTACATATAAGCCGAGATTAGTTCACGATCGGGTAATTAAAATTTGAATTTTCTATAATTCTTGAATTCTTCACTCATACAACAAACACCGTATTCACTAGTGCTGTTCTCACCGAAGAGTCATCATCTACATCAACAATTGGCGCCTCTAGCTCTTCGTTATCATTCCAGTTTAATTCTCCGATTTGACGAATTAGAATAATTTTGATTTAATCAATGACAAATTTAGGATTACAGGTTCATGCAACCCAAAACCAACGTAATCAGGGATTATAGTAGGAATAAACTTAGATTAGAATAATCAATATTAGTTTAATTCAATAATTGATCATGCAACCAAAATTTTTGTTTAATCTCAGATTTGGCAAATAATCTTGGATTTCGATTATAATTCGCTTTCTTGCAACCGGCCGTAAAAATGTTCAAAGTGACCACCATTTTCACGCATACAAAGCATTATACGGCGTAATAAATTAAACTGTACCCTTTGCAACATTGGTACGTTATTTTTTAATTTTAATTTTAATTTTATTATCCCTCTCTTGTTTCTACAGAATT